AAATAATATAAAATTATATTGTTTAATTGTTTAGCACGTCACTTACGGAAAACCATGCGTAAGTATTAAAAAAATGAAAATAAAGGCGATTATCGTTTACGCTCCAAAATCGTAATCGACACTAATGCCAGGTTTACACGATGTGTAGTATCTGTCATTAGTACCTGTCACTCGCATAAACCACTTGTACTACTCTTATCTATTATTGTTCACACGTGAATACCTAGTAAGCAGCAAGTAAGTAGTAGGGAACCAAATGTCAACCAACGAAATACGCATGTGCTGCTACCGATACTTGTCACTAAACACTTACATCGTTCGGTCACACGTTGCGAGTGCAACCACGAGTAGAGTAGAGTCGTGGAGGGGTTAGCAACTTGTCTTAGTAAATAGAACGACGTTCTATTCACTTGCAATCAGGGGTGGTTCTAGGGGGGGGTTCAGGGGGTCAGCTGACCCACAGTTAATATTTGTTGACAAAATTGGCCTCTTGGAAATATTTTTTTCCTCTTAGACCTTGATTTGGACTCTTGGACAGTTGACCCATCGGAGTTACTTGAAAAATAAATGCCATGTATATTCAAAATTTAAAATTTTTCAATTCATAATTTATATTTTAAATTATATCGTTTTAGTAGAATGTTAAGTAAATCATATTTTATTCCTTACGTTTGTTGCGCTGATAAAATTAGATTATATTTATTAATCGTAAATAAGTCATTATCGGTGGTATCACTAGTTCTAAAATGTAATATAAATATACTTGTACACTTTTATGAGCATATTGTGTTTTTTTTTACAAGGTATTAATTTCTAATTCAGTTTCATCCCTAATAAATGGTCTCTTAAAATGGCTCGACTCACAGTTCCCCGACTCTAGATCCGCCCCTGCTTGCACTCCCGTTTTTACTAATACTAAACACTATTTTTTCTGTTTACACTCATTGTGCGAGTGCGAGTGACAAGTACTAATGACAAGTACTACGCATTGTGTAAGCCCGGCATAAATGCTGTGGTGGTCTGCAGCTTGCGTATTTAACTTAACAGGTATCGCAAACAAATTCTAGAATATTTGCGATTAACAATTTATACCTATATAATTTTCCCAACAACGATAAGCCTGGAATATTCACATATTCCAGACCATTCTCGTATCTTAACAAAATATAATAAAAATTATAATTATCAAATATTGAAACACATATTTTTTAAGTGTTTTTGGTTTTTTTTTTTACTAACAAAGATACTAAAAAAAAAAAAATTAAAATAAACCTAATATTAATTATTTTTAAATTTTCTGGGTATTAATTTATAAGTTTGTATAGCATAATTTTTGGGATTGAACCTTACTACTTATTCTCATGTGACGCTTTTGTTCTAGGGTGAACATAATTAGTATGTTGATTTGGATAGTATTAAATTAAATAAATATTCATAAAAGTTCGCACAGAACTAGTCATCCATCAACTCTCTGAGGGGATTTGGTCTAATCGACTGCGTATAGACAAACCCATAGAAACTATCACGGTTTACTATCACCGTGTGACCGCTGCTTAAGTCTTGTACTGCTGGTATAGACCACAGATATATCATATTTTTGTGATAGTATCAAATAAGTAAAGTTGGCATCCTTTTTTTATTGATGAAATTTTATCAAACCGGTAAGAACATTTTATCAATTATGTATAGGCTGTACTATATAAAATTTTAATAGTCAACGTCATTCATTTACATATTACATTTTGATGTTTATAGATGTATAATTCTGTTACAATTGAATAATCATCATATGTTTATTTTAAATTGTATTAATTAAACTAAATTCAGTGGTTTATTATAGCTATGCATTTATATTAATCTACGTACATTTTTCATACTTTAAAATGCATTTAATATCAATTATTTTGTGTGCTTTTTTTATTTTCAATTCTTTTGTTGAAAGTGTTCGGGAAGAACGTTCTAAAGTAAGATACATTTTATTTATAAAATTAAGTTGTTTATGTAACATTTATATTTAAATATTGTATAAACAACTAGTGTTTTTTTTTCACTTAAAAGATTAATTTTTAGGTATTGTTTATTACATATTTATGTTTATTAGGGACTAAAATAAAAATATAAATTTAATTTATTGACAAACAGATTATAAGTGGTTCATGATAGTTTTTAATAAGTTTATCATTCATGCATTTTTGCTTCTAAATTAATAATAATATGAAAGATTGACAAAAATATTTTTAATTGTGATCAGAAGTGTATGTTATAATTTTAGTAGCACCTGAACAGTTCATTTTATTTTATTATACTTCATAAATGAACAGGACAATTGAAGACATGGATCTTTATGAATAATAATATTTTATTTTACATTGAATAAATTAAAAGTATCGTTCTTCAATGTTTTTTTCTGATCCATCAACTGACATAACATTTAAAAATTTAGTAGTTAGAAATCTTATAATCAAAAAGGGGTAATAACAGCAGGAACAGACCTTATTAGAAAATATCTGGATCTATTTTACTAGACATTAATCCAATCTTAGTTATAATTATACTAGCTAACTAACTAGTTTTTTTAATAAGCAAAAAAAAAATGGTAATTTTATATATTATTATTATTATTTATATATATATTATAAGAATGTTTGACATAAACTGAAATCACAGGAGCATGCTGCAAATCAGTTATTATATCAGTTTAAAAATTATCTATAATTTGTACTTCATTATTTAAATTCAAAACTTTTACTATGTTTTATACATACAATTAATTTATGCATTGAATATCACTTTTATCATCCATATAATTTATTATATTTACGCTACTGCAACAAAAGAAAAATTGAAAATCTTTAAAATTAATCTATATATTCTCAAATAGAGAAAAAAAAACTTTTGCCATTAATTCACATGTTTCATAAATTAGTAAAAATTTCAATCCCTCGTCTGATTGCATTGAATCAAAAAAAATATGACAAAGAACCGACTTCTACTTGTATTATATTATTTGTATTTATAGTTAATACACTTAATTTAATTTTTGTCTGGTCTGACTATAATTTTTGACATTCCATTGGCCCTATAAAGTAATATTTTAACATCCATCCTTTTGTTCCAGATGAAATGTCTACCATGTTATTAATTAAGTACATCTTTAAATAATTTTAATTCTAATAATTTATATGTAATTTATTGTTTTAGAGTCTTGACCAAAAAGTACAACAGTTGAATGATTTGTATCAAAAGAAATATGTGGTTAAATTTAATGGTCCAAAATTCAAGGAATTTGTAAAATCTCCACCAAGAAACTATTCAGTCATTATAATGTTCACAGCAATGGCATCTCACAGGCAGTGTTCAATATGCGGGTATTTTTTTTTGATGATTTTATACTAAGAATATAAATTATGATGAAATAGTATTTTAATGGGATATATCATAAATAAACGAGATTACGGATTTCTAAACATATAAATGCTAATTTAAACAGCTTTTGGTGGTTTTGTTTTTTGGGTGAGAGTAAAGTTTCTAGGGCAAGACCAGTATTGAACCCTTCTATTAATTGGTAAGGTTAATTGTGACCATGAAATAACTGTTGAGATAAGTGTTTCTTAGTTGATTATTTCTCGTTATACTTAAAAAAAAATATTTTATTATACTTTAAGGTATTTTATTAAATGTATAGGCATGCAAGTGATGAATTTATGATTGTGGCAAATTCTTATCGTTATTCTCATAGACCAAGTGAAAATCCTTTATATTTTGGAATTGTTGACTTTGATGAGGGATCAGACATTTTTCAATTGGTTAGTACTGAAAATTATGTTCTTTTATTACAACTTATCAAATAACAATGTTTTTTTAGTTGAAAATTAATACTGCTCCAGTTTTTATGCATTTCCCACCAAAAGGTAAATCAAAACCTTTAGATACTATGGATATACAAAGAGTAGGGTTTGCTTCAGAAATGATTGCAAAATGGATACAAGAAAGAACTGACATACAAGTAAGTTTTATTAATATATTATATTATAGAAAATTATACTTTCATGATAGTGTATGAAAGTTAAAATGTTATTATGACCCATATTGTACTATTATAAATAAATTATATTATCAATAACCTAAGAAAAATGTATTGTATAGTATTATATCAGTATTAAACCAATGGTTTCTAATCTAGTGGCTAAAATAGGGTTTTTTGAGGAGTAAAAACTAATTTTTATTTTCATACCTATTATTATAATTATCAGTATTGTTTTATTACTTTCAAATAATATTTATAGAGTGTACTCTTGATTAAATGAGGTTTTCTGAGAAAAACCATGTACACATGTACAAACAAAAAAATATAAAAATATGCACTTATATATAATATATCATTATGGTTCCATGAATCAGTTTGAGTTGCTATAACCGATTATCTAACAATGCAGATTATATGTTAGGCCTGGTACATGTACTTTTTTAGTGGAGAAGAGTATTTGCTAATATCTTAACAAATTTATGGGTAATAGTTTTAAAAAGGTTTGAAGTCGGTTATGTACATTTTCAACTAGAATTATTCTTTAATTTTTTAATTTCAACAATTTTTGTTTTAGATAAGAATATTCCGTCCACCTAATTATTCAAGTACATTGGCTTTATCTATCTTATTTGCAATATGTTCATCATTTTTGTATGTCAGACGAAATAATATGGAGATGTTTTTTAATAAAAATTTATGGGGAATTGGTGCTGTGGTAAGTTTGTTATAATATTATATAAATACTAAGTAGCATATTATAACTATGTATTGTAGTTATTCTGTTTAACTATGATATCTGGACAAATGTGGAATCACATAAGAGGACCACCATTAATGCATCGTAATCAACAAGGAAGTATTACATATATACACAACTCTTCTCAAGGACAGTTTATTGTGGAAACTTATATCATAATCATATTAAGTATCCTTTAAAAGCTTATTTTAACTGCATTTAATTAAAAACAACCATGCAGAATATATTAACAAATATAACATAAGTTGTATAATATATAAACATTAATGTCAATATTAATGTAGATTAATAGGAAAAAAGTTTTCAGACCAATCTTTAATAACAAATTATAAAACTAGTTTTCATATTGTATTTTGTCGTTTAATATGTAATAATTTATTTTATAATTCAGTTTGTATGAAGATTTAATATTTCTTAGAAAATGTTAAGACATTAAAATTTTCCTTAATGCTGCTGTAGATACAATACTGGTTTTTGGAACTGTGATAATGACTGATTCTTACACTAAGAAAACAGATTCAAAAACACGTAAAATTATGACTGTAGGTGGTTTAGCATTGGTAGTATTTTTATTTAGTGTTATTCTCTCTATATTCAAATCAAAAGCACATGGATATCCTTACAGGTAATTAAAAAATATTTAAACAATTTAATATATTATTAAGTAATATTTATATTTATATTTTTTTATATATTTTTTTTCAGCTTTTTGATAAAATAATGAAGATGTAAAATGAACATCTACTATTTTTTTTTTTCTATATTATTTTTCAAAACTGCACAGGCTTTTTTATGTTTTTTTATAAAGAGTTAAATATTTTGTCATTTTATAAACCTTAGAATCATAAAATTAATTTATTATCTTATATTACTGCGAAGTTTTTAGTAATAACTTATACCTGATATTTGATATAAAATAAAGATCTACACATTATATTTACATTCATTATTAATATATTTTAAAAATTGTTATTAGTTAATTATCATCTTTAATTACATCAATTGATAACCATTTTGATTTTGTTTTGACAACTTCTTTGCGAACTAATCTTTTCTTGTCGTCTAAACATTTTCCTAGTTCACAAATAACCTAAAAAATAATTGTTTTAAAAAATGTTGTAAGATAATGTTACTTGGTTATTATTACTTGTTTTTTTAATGGTAAAAGTTTGATTAAAGAATAGTCACAGCAATTGTACAGACATTGTAAAGCAACTATTCTTATGTCCATATACTTTGAGTTTTGACTTAGATTAAGTAGTTTTGGTATAAAAGATTGTAAATGATCTTCTAAAACTGGAGTTTTGGATTCTAAAAGGTTACGAAAAGTTTTTAACGACTGTAAAACATAAATCTGTTCTGGAGATAAAAGTTGAAGTAATACTGGTAATATCTGCAACAATTTAAATATTTATCAAATAATTAGTGGTTATTTCTTAATTTATATAAAATGTATAATAAAAAAGTTTTAAAAGTTTTCATCTTTGTAGGCCAATTTTTTAACCAACCCATTTCTCATTTATGTTTTATGTAATATTTGAATATATTTTCACAACTGTTCAAAGTAACAAAACTAAATTGTTATAAACAATTACATTTTAAACCCTGCAAGATCTTTTTAACAAAATTATTGTTATTTTGAATATCTCACTGAATACCTATTATTAATGATCTCACAAAGTTCTTTTAAGTACTATACACAATAGTTTTTTATAACTCATCAAAATATTAAAATACATAAATAATAGATAATAAAGTTTGGCAATTAAGCCTTACATTTTTTTTTAAATAATAATATAATAAATAAATTCCAAGGAATCTTTCACTAGTATTAAAAGCAAAGTGTGCTAAGTATAATAATGTTGGTTAGCTCTATTAACCAACATTGTCATAACATTTTGGTATTTTAGGTATAATCAATGACTCTCATTCATTGAAAATGAAATGCTTTTTCATTGTGTAAGATAGTCCGTTACTCAAATACTACATTAAAAAACCTCAAATCAAATACATGTATTATATATTATATGAGTTACAATCACTAACTTTCTAATTAATATACTGTATATATAAATAATTTTAAAATTTCTAATGCATGTATTCCAATATATTATTAAATTTAAGTTATTTTTTAAATTCATAGCGAATAAAATATAAATTCTAAGAATTAAACTGACAAATTACTTGTATATTTTAATTTTTCTACTCAGTTTAATGGTTTCATTCATATTTTTATTTTTTTAAAAAAGAATTAACATATGCATTTCTAATTTTTTCAATATTATTCTTATATATTTAAATATCCTAGTGTCGACAGGTCTCAGACAAGGAGACGCTTTGTCACCGGCTTTGTTTAACATTGCCTTAGAGTCAGTGGTGAGACAAGTCCTTAGCAAGGCGAAAGTAATAAAAATCAGTGATAACTAACAGCTTGTAATTGTAGCCTATGCTGATGATCTAGTGTTAACCACAGAAAATGAGGAAAGTCTAAAACAATCTGCAAAAGAACTAATAAGGATAGGGGCAGAAATCGGTCTTAGCGTAAACAAAGAGAAAACAAAATATCTAATATTGTCCAGGAATCATCACACGGCAAGAAATTTAGAAATAGAAGGTTATTCTTTTGAAAGAGTAGAACACTTCAAATACCTTGGAGCGTGGGTGAAAGAAAACGCGAATAGCGACGAAGAATAAAAGAGAGGTTGATAGCAGCAAACAGATGCTACTTTGGACTATCAACACTTTTCAAATCAAAATTACTCTCAAGAAGATCAAAGATAAAATTGTACAAAGTTTTAATTAGACCCATAGTACTATACGTATGCGAGACATGGGCAACCACCAAAACGGATGAAAACAAATTGGGTGTTTTTGAAAGGAATACTCCGACAGATTTATGGACCAAAAAAAAATGATGTAGGTGATTTTGAAGTCAGGACAAATGAAGAGTTAAGAAGTTTATTTGGAGAAGCCAATATTATAGGAATTATGAAGAGTTATAGATTAAGATGGGCAGGTCATGTTTGGAGATCGGAAGGAATACTGGGGAACATAACGAGATGGAGACCGAGCACGAAACGGCCCAGACAACGGTGGGCAGATAGAATTAAGGAAGACCTCAGAATAATGGGGATAGAGAATGAAGAGGAAGTGTCAAACAACAGGGAGAAGTGGAGGGATGTTGTTGATGCGGCAATGGACCATAATGGTCTTTAAAATGCCTAGAAGATTCAAAAAATTTAGATTGTATTGTTTCAAAATGTATACAAATATAAATTTAAAAAAATTATAGTATTGTAGTGGAGAATTAAACTGATAAACCATCATATGATTAAGTACAATTTTAAACTCTATTGCTAATAGAATATCAAATAATATCAATATATTATATAAATATATTCTTTTGTGTAAGTCAATATAGAATATTAAAATAATTAAGCAATAATTAAATATATTGTGATTTTTAATAACAATCATATGTCACTGACATTCAACAACAAAATTAAAGTAATAATCACACATAAAAATATAATTCTTAATTATATTTTATTTAATTGAATAAATTTTGAAAATTACCTTGGAAAAATAAGGCGAAAGTGTGACATAATTATTACCATCTATTTGATATAAAATACTTATGAGATAATTTTCTTTGATTGGTTCAGGCAATGTATTATAACTGGATACCAGTGGTTCAATAACATAGCAAAATATTCTTTGTCTGTACAACAACCTATAGTTTAATGAATTATAACAAAATATTATTTTATTGAAATTTAAAATAAAAATGAAATGGAAGTATAAAAATTATTAAATATTATCTAGTATATTTACTTGACTGAGCAAAAACATTTTGTATTTAAGTACTCATCGTCTACATTTGTTAACATTTTAAAACACATTGTCATCATTTTTCCATAAGAAGGGTCTGCTAATAAATCTAATGACTAAAATGTATGTATTAAAACACAATGATTTCAATTCCATACATTAATTAATATTACCCAATCAATCCATTGTAACATTTTACTATGTCCCTTAAGTGCTAATGACTTGGTGATCCATGAAATTTGATTAATAACATTTTTCTTATTTACATTTGCCAAATGTAAATTACTTTCTAAGTGTAATTTTAAGTTATTAAGAATTACATTGGATTCATCCCCTATAAATAAATAATTAAAAAAAAAAAATATTCATGCAAAAAAAAAAAATGTAATAATCAATATACCTTCAATATACTTATTTATTAATGTAGCTGCCAATCGTGAAGCAGACAAATTACATATTGAAATATTTGTAAAGGTAGATAATTCAACACAATTCTGTATTATTAAAGTCACATTATTAATTTTGACATCTTGATTAACAGAATTTAAAATACTTTCTAATAAAATAACCTGTAAGAATATATTTATTGTTATTAAATGTTTAAAGTAGAAAAGTTTAACTATTTATTATCTCAATATTTTTCTTAAACTATTTATTTTTCAAACTTCAAAAATTATAAAAATATTTACATGTATATTTGGATAAACATATTGATTTATTATACAAGTTAATGTGAATATTGTTTATTACATTAATCAATGTGTTTAAAAGTATACCATAAAGTAATTATAAAAAAAAATCATATTAATATTAATGTTAAATAAGCTAATCTAAAGGTTTAAATGTCTCAACTAAAACATAGAATAATCTAACATATGTGTATAGGAATCTGTCCTTAGGCTATAACTATATTTTTAGGAATATAACTATACCATTACTATTTCTACCTTTTATTTTAAAGGAGTAAATAAATAAGTATTACTTGAGACCCATTAACTATTGTTTAAATAATAAAGAATTTATATAATGGTAGTCTATAAGTTATTTTTAAGTATACTAATGCGAGATGTTTCAATTTTTGCATGATTTTAGCTAGATAAATAACCATTAGCAGGTATAATATAATATTAAATAAAATTTTATTTTATTTCCGAATAATAAAACTTCAATATTATGAAATGAATAATTTATAAATTACCATGTATGAATATTTGTCTTTTTCTATATCAGAAAGTGATTGATAACATATTTTTGTTTCTACAATATCATTGAAATATTGAATAAACTGATTTAGTACACGTTGTTGTTCACTAAAAATAAACATTAAATTAATAATAATACAAACATAACAAGTAAATTACTGTACTTATCTTATTTATATTATTATTTTATTAATTATAATTTAATATATATTATTATACAATATACTAATATTAAATAAGCACATTATTATAAAAAAAATATAAACTTTTTTTGAGTTAACTTCGAGGAAATAAATATAACATATATTGTATTGTAAATGATGTTAATTATTTAGAAGCTTTAATTTCTTTGTAAAATTCTGAATGAATAATTTTATGTAATATTATTAGGTAATTAATAATTACATATTTTTATTTTGTATTAAAAAATTTATTACCCATAAATATGTTCATAACAAAAAAAAAATTTAACCCCTTCTATTTTCTTTAAATAAATTTCTCTTGACTAATTATATCCTCTATTAATATTAACTTCTCACTCTTATTATAATAATATTACTTATTAATATTATTATTTAAAATTTCTGTTATTTTCAGCTTTTTGTATTATGGATAATAACATATTATGTTTAATTTTGTACTATGTTGTAATTAATTGTTAAGTTATTTTATATAATTAATTGTTGAGCTATCATAGTTCTTACAGAAAGATTTAAAATAAAAAATTAAAATAAATACACGGAGGAGAAAAAAAGCAAAATAATTAATGTAAAATTTAAATAACATCATTTTTTTTTTTTCATTGTACTAATTTTATATATATTTGATGGTCATATGAATAAATAAAGTTTATATGTATAAAAATAATATATACATTTCCACTGTAGTTGAGGAAAAAATCCTAAAACTATTCTAAATAATTGTAATTAATATATATATATTTGTTATTTTGATATAAATTAAAATAATCAAATTTTGATTTAAAGTGATTTGTTGAAATTAGATATTTAAGAAACCATTTTATAGACAGCTGAAACAAGAAAAAAAAATCATTGAATCTTAACAAAATTAAAATTGTTTTCTTATTTGATGTGTATTTTTGTGCTAAAGGAAAAAAATTAAGACAGAATATTGATATTATTATTATTTTTATAAATACAATAAGTAATTTAGATGCATATGCAACATGGGTAGAACATTTCACTTTAGGTTATATATTAATAATTTACTTATATTACTTTTAAAAAATAAAAATTAATTCCAACTAAGGTGAGATATTATATGAAACGATTCACTTAGACCTATCTAATATTTACTACAAAACATGTCCATTTCCCATAACTCGTTGTCTAATGCGAACAAAAACAAATACTAATATGATTTTTTCAGAACTAAGCATACTTTTAAATTAAAATTTAATGTTTTAAATTATAAGTTAAATGTAGAATGTATTTGTTCTACAACAGACTACATAAAACTATATAATATCGTACAATTTGAAAATGCAATTAGATACTTATATTAGAATTACATGCATATTATAACAATAATTTAAACTTTTAAGAATATAATCTAAAAATAATACTTTTGAATTTAGGGTTTATGTGATTTTTCATTAGTAAAAATGGATTAAAACATACCTAATTTGGTCAATATCATGTAAAAAAACCAATAAATTTATTTCAAATTTCTAAAAATAATTTATTATTTCATTCAGTGACGACGCCAGAATTTTTTTTAGGTATGAGCAACAAGTCAACAATTATAAGGTAGGGCCAAAATGAAATTTCATAAAAAAAATATATAACCTAATTTGTGTTAATTACTATATTTTAAAATTTTAAATTATTACATCACTGATAAAACTTTAAATTTTGTTTATGAAAATTTCTATTATGATCTCTAAGGTCAGGCCAGTGGTAAAACCAAACATTTTCACATAGGGCACCTGGTGTTACTATCACTGTATCAATTATTGTATATAAACATTTTTATCATTGAAAATTTCTTTATAACAACTGTGTTAAGTGGATTATTAGATAAAATAATATAATAATTAATGTTAAAAATAAATAGTAATAATAATAAAAGTTACCTGTTACTGATTATTTTTACAATAGAATTTACAACAAATGACACATCGTTCAAAATTATTTCATTTCGAAAAATTTGAAAATTTTCACAGTTCTTTATACCATTTATCCATAAAGTTAAAATACAATTTAAAAGTCCATTATTTAATGTAAAATGATGCAACAATTTAGTATTTTCAATGTTTCTAACAAGTTCTCTAAAATATAAAGTGGTATAAGAACAAATCTCAAAAAATTATAATGTTTGAACATATAGATATTTTATTCACCTTAAGCAGTTTAAAGTCATCTGGGTTTCTTCTTGGTTTCTACATAAATTGGCACACATTATATCATTAATTAATTTGAAAAAATATTCTTCATTTCCCAAAGAGCATATTGCATTTAACCATTTAAATTTCATCAAAATATCATTTGACTCTTAGTATAAATTATGAAAAATATATTAGTGTTTACTTTTATAAATTAATTAAATATTAAATGTTGATGATTTATTTATTACTTACGGTTCAAATTATTTATATTAAAATGTATGATATCTGTATTAATTTCTTCTTTATAATATTTTGCTGCTTCTTTAAAACATGATAATGTTTCGTTTCTTATTGAACCTGTTGTATTAGATTTAATTAATGTGGTAATAATACAATAATAATTTTGACGTTGAGATTTTGTAAGTAATCTAGTTGATATTTGTAATGCTTTCAAAGCAGATATTCTAACTTCAGGCAATTCATTTTGAGCATACAGCAAAAAATAACAACCTATTTCTTCCCATCTTCTATCTAAGCCCGGAATGCCTAAGAATAAAATGATTTGATGAATCTTGAATGTTTGGATAAAAGTTATTACGATTAGAACTTTACATATCTGGTAACTTACATGATAAATCAATTGACATTTGTAAACACATATTAGTGATTAATCCCATACCTTCTATGATTCTAGTGATTTCTGTTTGTGATACGTCACTTTTGTCAAGTAACATTAAGTAAACCTATTTTAAAAAAAAATATCAGTTATAATTTAAACAAACTTTATTATTTCATCTCTAAAAGTAATTCTAAAAGTAATTATAAAAAAAAATTTACTTTATTTGCTATCTTAAGACAAGCATATTTGGAAGTTTTTCCAACACTACAAAGAAGTTTAATTGAGGGTATGAATAAATTAGCTTGAGTATCTAATAAAAATCTAGTAGAACCTGAAAAAATAAATATAAAAATTATGGTTTTTTTTATTACTATATTTTCTAATTTTTTTTTATTAGAAAATAATAATAACTGTCTAAAAGTAATTTAATACATTTAATTTTTTTACAGAGTCGAAAGATAGTCAGTAGTACCAAAAAAAAAAAAGGAAGGTATTTAGACCAACCGTTTTAATCTTCTAAAAATAACGCTTATAAATGAATTAAAAAGTACAAACTTTTAAGAATAATTTCTAGAAAATCTGAAAGTTGTTCTTGTTTATCATCTCCTTTAACAATGGCTAAAGAATACAATAAGGCAGTCAAAACACCAATAGCAGCTTCTCTAACTTCATCTGTTGAATCTTCCTTATCGGACATGATAATAATTTTTAAAATACGCCATATTTCTTCAATATGAGACTTGATCTTAATAGGATTGAAGTATTCACAGCAAAGTTTCTAACATAAATATAAAATAGACATTGTCAATTTTCTATATAAATTATAAAATGTATTTAATTAATTTTTATGATTCTTGAAACATAACATTATGTACTTAATAACTATTTAAATATCCAATTCGCAAAAATAAAACAAATAACATTAACATATTAAGTGCCATTACAAAAAATATTGTTATTAATACAGTGCAATGTGGGGCTTATTAACTTTACAATGTTAACTTATTAAGAGCGCCATTTAGGGATTTCAAGTCCTATGTGTAATAATTACTTTATTACCACATAAGGTCTTCAAACCTTTTAGTTTACATGTTTTCTTTTGGAAATTAAATAGATTATGGCCTGCAGGACAAGTTTATGAAATGGTTGAGCATTTTATTTTTATGACTGTGTGTTAAAAATTGATAATTTTCTTCCTTCCCTTTGAAACGTTCAAACATATTGAGTAAACCTACAGAATCTGAGAAGAAACACTTTGATACACTGGGTCAATACACCCATACATGGCACTTAACTTGTAAAGACTCAAAATACAGAATTGATGAAAAGTTTCTAAAAAACTAAATTCAAACTCTTTATGATAACATAAAAGAATTTAATTTCTTTTTGTGTGATTAAATTGTTAGTTCTTATTTTAATATAAATGTTAAGAACATGTTTTCATAACATAAGCATTTAAGAGAAATTGAAAGCTCATTAAAGTTACTTGATGAAATACAGAAATTCTAATTGTTACTAGTATATTACAATCAAAAATATATATATAATATAATAGAAAATTTCATCAAATAAATTCTAAGAAATCTAAAATCAGTATTTTTGAAACTTTCTAATAAATATTTTGACCCAATTGCAGAATCGTGATTTCTTAAAATTACAATATTAAGTATTGTTTAAATTATAAAAAGATGTGTATGTGCTGATAACTTGATATCATTTAACACTTACATAGCTGTGGAATGAATTAACTGAAACCAATTAGATCAGTATTTAGTTTAATTTATTTTATACATAATTTATTTAGTAACTTTTTTTTGAATATTCATTAGTGAATATACGAAAAGTTTATGTTTTGCTCAATAAATTAAAAATATTTTTAAATATATAATCACAATTATGAATTAAGTTCTTTAATATCAAAATGTAGAATTGAACTATTTTTAACTTAACCAGCAACTCCAATAAAAAGATTGGTATAAATAATAAATAAATAAAAATGTTGGTATAAATTTAAATAAATTATATAAAATACATTATAACTATGTACATTTACCAATAAATACAATGAATCTAATTTGGCAATTATTAAGTTAGATTCAAGTTTTTGTAAAGCCAAAGGAATACAAAAATCTGAAAATTCTTCTACACACGTAAGACATCTAGCCAAGTTTGATGCTAATTCATTTCTAGTAATTTTACTTTCTTCAGTCTGTCAAATAAAATGTAAGCTTATTAGTGTCAATTTATAAATCATGTTATTACTATTAAATTGAAACCCAAATTATACTTCATGGAAATCTATGGGAAAATAGCACGCAATCACATCAAATGTTTCTTCAGTTAAATGACCTAATGGATAATTTCTTAAAAATTGAGGTAGTATTCTAAAAAGTAGTATTAAATTATTGGGATCTCGTTCACCATCCATTGAAGAAATTACACAATACAAGAAATCTGGTCCCATAAATCGTACATCTAGAATAATAGTTCGTTAATATTTTTTATTAAAAAGCAATTTTTTTTTTATAATATTTGTTGATTTTATTAAATTTTTAGGCATTTAATATTTAATTGTATATTATTTTTACAATTTTTGATTTCTACATTGGAATTTAGGGTATATTATCAAATACTAAAATAATATAAAAATAAAAAAAATCCTGAAAAAAAATATTAAGATTTTATATGATAAATAAATCTTTAAATCATTTTTTAATCAATTGTTAATTAAAAGCGATTTGTTACTAAACAATACAAATAAATATTTTTATAATATATGTGTATAATATTACCTTCTAGTCGATTTAAAAAAATTTGATGTAAAATACAATAAAATGTATATCGATCATTTTGAAGTTGTGATTGACAATGAAAATGAGGCATAATCGTATTAAAATATCGTACAATCATTTCCTTAGTAATATTTTTCATTTGTACCTAAATATAATATATATAATATATAGTATATAGAGGAGGAAATATGTGCAGTTTTGAATTATTTAATTATTTCTATAAGATGTTTTAAAACTTACAGTATACTCAATTCCGCTTAAAACTGTTGGTATAAATGAATGATGATCAATAAAACGATCACATAAAAATTGATTTATATAATCCAATTCTTCAGTTAAAAAAAAATCCAAGGGTAAATTTTTTACAACAGTTACAAATGCCTTAACTCCATTTAAGCGAATATCTTTTTCAGTAGATGTTAATATTTCTTCAAGAGACTGAACAAATTCAAGAAATGTTGTTGCTCTAGCTGATATTGCTAAAAATCAATTTTTTTTTGTAATATTAATATCAATTTAAATATTTGTTAAATAATAATTCTGAAATATATACTGAATACTAAATATATAACTGATAATGAAAAATTAATGATTTTCAGACATTTTAGTTGTAAATTTAATTATTGTTGAATAATAATAAAATATTTAAAATAATTTATTTTTATAAAGGTTTAATTATTTGTTTGACAAGTCTTATAATCTGGTTATACAATTAAAAAAATTAGAAGTTATCATTAAATAATATTAATAACTTATACTTCAATTAAGAAAATAACAAACTGAAAGCTACATTATTTTTAACAAAAAATACAACTAAAATTGAATTAAATTAAATCTTAAATTTTAAATTTTAATTTACGGTTGATAATTATTTTCTGTTTTATTATAAGGTACCGAGTTAATACCAAAAAAATTATTTTACATATTTTAATCAATTAATATCCAATAGTTTACTGTTATTATGATGACAAAATGGATGTAGTAAAATACATTTTTCAAACACATTTAAATTATATTTTGTATTACCTTTGCTCACTAATTCACTAGTAGAATCTATATCTATTCCACTTGCAACAACATTTGCGATATTTTTATAATCACACAACATATTGAGAAGTTAAATATTTAATGAAAACTATTGTGGTAGAATTATTATTAGGTTTTCCAAAATTATTAAAAATGTACCAACATTTCGTAATGCACGTTATCATCCAGTCCTGAATATATGTGATATGTTATGTGAAATGTGAATTATTTACTATTATTATGATAGTATTGAGTTATTTCCACAGATATCTGTGGTTATTTCATATATCACATAATATTCATGGAATAAACAAGGAATATAATTTCCATGATGAAAGTATTTTTTATCAGAGTTTGATAATTATTTGTTTTTCATTTTCTATATATTTATTGTTACCTATTTCTATTTTTTACATAGTTATTATTATATTGTGTATGATTTATACTTTTAACAGAAGACGTTATAAAATTATTTTATTAATTTACTATAATTTCTATTTTTAAAAACGCCAGTTAGCTTTATATAAATGTAAGGCTGCCATGATTCCAAGGCTTGTTAGAACAATATGGGAGGCTGTTTAGGTTTACAAAGAAATCGCAGAGGAAGGAATGCGTCCTCAGACAATGGATCTCGCCCAAGTTCTGGTAAAGTATTTAACTATATATTTAAATTCTCTTGATATTTTGATAAATCTCATCCTACTAATAATTTATCATTATACAATTACCTATTAATATAATTGCAATATAATTAATGTAATATATCATGTGCATAAAATACTGACTATCCACATTTATTTAATATATAATTAATAATAATTAATCACATTTTTACAATATTAATAAATAATTAGTATTATATATATATGTTATTTTAGGTATGCTTTCATACGTAACAGGTGTATATTATTTAGACAGAACTAAATAAAAAGACTATCAATAATTTAAAATATGTGAATATTGTTTTCATTATTAAATATTATATAACTGTATAGTAATTTAATTAAATTTTGATCTAATGTGAATAGATTTTAAATATTAATTCAAAATTAAAAAAAAGTGTAAATTTGGTATTCCTTGTTTTTATTAGTTAAATATCTATTTCCCTTTGTGGGTGGAGGCAGAATTCACCCACAGTAGTCTATGCCTATCTTAAAAGGTGAGAATGGACTCAGCCCTCCTGGTAGGGGTTCAGCAAGAGACTAATAACCTCTCCCAGCAAAAAAGCACCTTTACACAACCATAAAAATGGAAATTAAGCCTCGAACATAGAGAATGGGATAAAGACTGAACAAGGAAACCAAATTAAGAGGATGAAATAAAGGAAAACGGACTGGACAATTACTACTTGGAATATACAAACACTGTTGCAAGTAGGAAAAACGAACTAATTATCACTAGAGATTAGAAAGTATAACATCGATCTAGTAACTCTACAAGAAATCAAATGGCATAGACAAAAATCTATACAACATAAAGACTACACATTATACTATAATGGTCCAGATAAGAAAACAGGAAGTTATGGCATCAAATTATATGTAAGCAAGAAAATGAGCAAGTTTTTCTTAAACTTTGAAGATAGAATATGCTAAATAAAATTCAAAGGAAAATTCAGAAACAACAATATTCTCAATGTGTGCTCCAACAAAAATCTCTGATAAACAAGAAAAAGAGAATTTTCACGACTTCCTAGATAAATACACTGATAAAGTACCTAAACATGATATGATTATTATAATTGGCAATTTTGCAAAGATACAGGAAGAGAAGTCAATACAATCAATAACTGGAAGATTCTCCTTACACGACAATACAAATGACAATAGCTTACTTTTAGCCCAATGTGTGAAGACACACAGGATGGTAATTAAAATTACTTGCTTCCCACACAAAAACGTACATAAAAAAACATGAAAAATGCCTCAATCAAATCGTTCATATACTTGTATCTTCCAAACATGCCTTAGCCATAACTGACATCAGAACGATGAGAGGCGCCAATAGCGATTTAGTTTGTGCAATAATTAGACAACGCTTAGAAATTATACAAAAAGACAAATTAATAAAAAGAAAGAAATGAAACACAGAATGTTTAAAAAATAGTGATGACCTAATAAAATATCAGGAAGCTTGTGACACAAGACTAAGTACCCTAAGAGACATAAATACGAAAGATCAAATAGAAGAAAGGGGAGAGGGAGCTTTTCAAAATCGATGTAGTCAATGCAGCCCAGGATACTGTAGGTATCACTAAGTATACTAGAAATGATGAATATATTGAAATTCTTATTAAAAAAAATTAAGCAAGACAAAAAATGGTACAACAATATAACGAGAAACCAGACAAAACTATGAAACATACAGCAACCTAAGAAGAGCAGCAAAAACCATTAGTCACACTAAGAAAAGGGAAATGATAAAAACGTGTAGATTGAAAAGTTAAACAAGATGGGAAACAGCAGACTGTTTTATAATAATATCAAATTGTTTCAAAAAGGATTTCAGCCTAGAATAGAACATGCAGAGAAAATAATGGATGGATCAATAATTGATAAAAAAAGAAAAGAAATTACAGATATATAGAAAGAATACTTAACGAGTTACTCAACTATGAATAAGGTATAAAATATATCACATGGCCCCCAACCATAGATTGAAAAGCGAACTATAAATTAATTTGATACAACTATTATCAAATTAAAAAATAACAAAGCTTCTGATGAAAATGATATAAGAGGGGAACTAATAAAAAATAGCAGTAAGAAGTATAAAGACGTAATATTTGATCGCATATGCTGTATATGGGAAAACAAGATGCCAAAAAATTGGAGTTGTGGAATCATATGTCCTATTTTCAAAAAAGGAAATAGAGCATAATGCACAAACTATAGGGGAATTATGCTACTAAGTGTCCCATATAAAATATTGTCAATTATGCTCTTGAAAAAACTAGAAATATACGCTGAAGAAATACAGAATGAATACTAATGTGGCTTCCACAACGAGAAATGCACCACTGATCAAATTTTTATTGTTAGATTAATAATGGAAAAATGTCTTCAAAAAATCAATTCCGACGTACACATGTTATTTATTGGGTATTAACAAACATTTGATAGCCTGTATAGGTCAGCCATAATTAAAGCACTAGTTAAAAATGGCGTCCCTGATAAAATAATAAAACTGATAGGTACGACCCTTGAAAATGCAACAGCAAAAGTCAAAATAGGTGGATCAGTGAGCGACTCTTTCGACATTGTTTTTGGAGTAGGACAAGGTGATGCCTTATCTGCAACATTGTTCAACATTGCTCTATACAAATCTGTGAAACAAAAATGCCATGAGAGATGCCTTCTGTATGATAGAACTAAAAGGGAAAATGATGGGTTTAAAAATTAACAAAAAAAAGACAAAGTATATAAAACTATCTGCAGTCGACAAACATCACAAGGTGCAAAATATTACAAATGGAGAGTATTGCTTTGAGAGGTTAAAAGAATTTTTGTATCTTGGCTCTTCTCTTAACAACAGTAATAACATGATGGTAAAGATTTAGAGAAAATTCATGGCCGGCAGTCATGCATACTATGCCAATATCATACATACTCTTTGAGTCAAAACTTCTGTCAAAAGTCACTAAGATGAAGATTTACAAAAACCTCATCAGACCTGTAGTATGCTATGGAGCTGAAAGTTGGACACAAAAGCTGATGCCAACAGGCTAAAGATATTAGAAAGAAATATGGAGCAGTTAATGAAGAAGGAATATAGAGGATATGAAACAGCAGAGAAATAGAACAAATTCTAAAAAATTAAAACATAATAAAATATATAAAATCATGTAGGGTTTAATAGCTGGGTCATGTAGAAAAAATGGACAAAGAAATATTACCCAAACAAGTAATGCATGTAAGAATGGAAGGAATCAGGAAACAAAGACGTCCAAGAAGCAGATGGATTGATGAAGTGAAGAAACATCTACAACAAATAGGGATAAAGAACTAGATAAATGTTGCAAAAAATTATGATAAGTGGAGAAGTTATGGATGCCAAAAGCCATCATGGCTTGTAGAGCTTATGAAAAAGAAGTTAAAAGAATAATGAAAGTTATTTTAAAAAAAAAAATCATACTATTCAGAATATCTTTACAAATAACCAAGATTGGGCGAGTTAATAATATTTTTTAACTCAGTTAAGTTAAATAAATTGAGTTCATTTTCAATTAAGTTAATTTAATGTGAATTACATCAGTTAAGTTAAAAATTAAAGTTAAATTAAAATAAAAAAGTTAAAATTAACTCAACTTTAACTTTTTAACTCGTTTATGTCCAAGCTTGATTATAAATATGATTATAATACAAGACAATTATCTAATATTACTATATTATTAATGCATACAAATTAATTAAATTTAATTAAATTTACTTATGTCTAGAACTAAAAATATGTAATAAATATCATTAGACAACAAAATAAATAAATACTTTAATAGTTAAAAAAAATATTTACTTGGCTGCTGAAAGAATTAAATATAGACAGTTATATATTTATAAACCAATAACTTGTATAGTGTGTAATATATAGTATATTATAAATCACTATCTTAAATATTTGTAACCTATATTGTATATTCAGGTATAGTTTAATTTTGAAAGTCTAAATTTGTATGATTGATTCAACTGTTACAATGTAAATTGTTTTTAAATCAATGAATATAATATTTATTAGATTTGTAACTTGGGGACCCTTATAAAAACCTATTTACAAAGATCCATTAATTTTTAAAGAAATAACATAATTCATATTGTCCGTTGATTATCTGTTATTTATTTCATATAGGTCTTATTATTTTTATCATTATTAATTATTTTGTATCATATTTTATAATTCACTAAACTATTTTCTCTATAGGTACTAATAGAAAAAATCACCCATTGTGCCATGAAACAATCCGTTGGAAATCTGATGTTCCTTTAACTGAAGGTCAGTTACGAAGTAAACGTGATGAGTTTTGGGATACAGCCCCAGCATTTGAAGGACGTAAAGAAATATGGGATGCATTAAGAGCAGCTACTGCAGCTGCTGAATCGACTGATTTTCAATTAGCACAAGCTATACTTGACGGCGCTAACATTTCAGTTCCTAACGGTAAATATATTTTTGATTGTTTAATTATTTTTTATACCAAATACCAGAGGCGGCCAAACGGTTGATTGCGGACGATTTCAGAGTCAATCATGTTAGAATTTATTTTTAGGCCACTTGCATGAAAATTAATCGTGGTGGTTATGAACAAATTGCCAGTAAGTTTTATCTGTATAGTTTTTATCTTTAATTTTAGTTTATAAAAAAATTTTCTAAGAAAGTCGATCTTCAAAGGTGAAGTATAGTTTTAGTAGATTGTGGTCAAATAAAGTTTGGCCGCTTCTGCCATATATAATAAATAACAAATATGACAAGTAAGAAATAGATTTATATGTATATGTTTATATTTATTAGAATAAATTATTTAAAATTAGTAAAAATAAGTGAAATAAAGTAAATATATATGATTTAAATGTTTTTATTAAAAAAATATCAATTCTATTTCACTTATTTACATTTTTTATTTCTGATTATTGAGTTTGTCAGTAATGTCCACGAATCATCTCAATATGATATAAATGGTGGTGTTTTTATTTTGAATGTTTTTGCATATTTTGGATAAAATGCATATTATTGCATATATTGAATAGAATTAATATTATTGCATATTTCTATTATGAGAATGTGAAAAATTAATGTTTTATAGTATATTTCGTATTTAATTCTAGCCCTGTTGTTTAATGTATAAAACTTGTTTTTTTTTTTTTTTTTTGTCAAACATGCATTTTATTTTAAATTATTTTATTTTATTTCTCAATTACATTATATTAAAACAAACAGCCAACCATTGATGTATTTCAATAAATATTTTTTTTGTTAACTATATTTATGTGTTTATCTTATAAAAATTCAAATGCATATTTTACAATTTTTTATTGCATACAAATCCTAGCTCTGCTGATCAATAAGTGAATTAAAGAGAAAACTATTTTTAATTGTTTTTAAATAAATATTTAATTTTCATAAACTAAGAATATTATAAGTGAAAATAAAGATTGTTAATAGTTAAGTTTAAATAATAATATGTGCAATATATAATTATGTTTTTAATACCAAATTTTCATTATAATTAAACATAAAATAAAATATTGTATCCAAGCAGGATAAGCTGACTTTATTTTAATGTAAAGTAACCAAATTGAACCCATTTTTCGGTTGTTTCACTTTCTTGGTGGGAAACATTATTTAGATAAAATAGCTTAGTTGCTGATATCTCAGCAAAAATATGAAAATATATTATAATAAAAAATTTTATTAAAATTCAATTTTTAAAAACATATATTGATGGCTTTATGTACTTATAAATCTATTACTTAAATATAATGAACGCTCTTATTGTTATTAATAAATTAAATAATTCAAATTTTTTTTTTTTTTTAAGGATTTCTTACTGAATGCTATGATGAATTAGGAACTCGATATCAAGTTCCTGTGTACTGTCTTTCTTATCCTATAAATATAGTAAAAGAAGGCAGCGGCAGAGATTCTCCAGTTGAACAAACCGGTATTACTTTTTTGATTATTAATTATTCTAATAATATAAATTTTTTTAAACTAAAAATAATTTATAACATAAATTGTGTAATTTATAATTTAATACATGTTGTGTATTTTTATTACCTATAATTTTAACATCTTGTATAGAATCCTCAGATGAAGGTTCAGAAATAATGTTAAAACTTCGCTTGTCATCAAACTGTCAAGATATTAAAATGCCATTAATGACAAGAGATACTATAGCACAAGCTAAAAAAAAATTACAAGTAAGTAACCTAAGGTCTTTTAAACATACATTTTCACTTTAAAACTAAACAATTATGACTAAATTATTTATTTATTATTTAATATATTAAGTTGAAATTAAAATAATTTTATATTTTTATAAGTTAACTGTTTTAAAAATAATATATTTTAATTGTGTTATAAAAATATAAAAATGTATCAATATTTTATTTTGGTAAATATTAATGTAAAAGGTATTACATTTATCGTGCAAAATGTAATAATGTAGTTAATTTTATAACAATTTGTAATTTTAAATTAATACGAAACATGCCTCAAAAGTAAGGTCTCCGAAATAATTATGATTAAATGTAGTTAAAAAATGTTTTACTTAAGTTTATATATAGTATATATGAATTATTATTCCACAGAATGACCATTTATTGTATTTACATGCATTTTTTATACCGCACTGGAATTTTTTGTATGCATGCCTCATAGAAACTCACCGTGATCTCTTTTTGCAACTATTGGGATATTTCTTTTTTCAACTATTCATCTGTCTCCATCTTTTTTCCATATCAAATGTTTCTTTAAGTTCAAGAACAAGTGGTAATCGGATGGAGCAAGGTCTGGGCTTTAAAGGGTATAAGAAATCACTTCTCAACCAAACTGATCTAAGAAAGTTTTTATGTTGCAGGCAATGTGAGGCCAGACATTGTCATGTAAGAGACAATTCCTAACTCCTAATTTTCTGAAAATTCTCTACGTGACTTTCTCATATTTTTTGCAGATATGCAATCCATACCATATGTCTCCTATGTATTGATATTTGAGTTTCATCCTTTGAATGAAAAAAATAGAAGCACATACTTTATATTAAGCATACACAATCTAAATACTGGATTAAGTAGAGCAAACTTTTATTTGAAAGAGAAGAAGCTTGCTTCACTATACTTCAATGTTACTTTTGGAAAAATATATATTTTTGGGTCTAGGAGCATGGAGACCTTATTTTTGGGACATGCCTTGTTTTTAATAATTTATATTAATAACTTAAAACATTTGGTTAAATAGCATCACTGTCTTTAAAAAACATTTTACTCAATCTTAAAATGCCAAATTATATTAAAGACTATACTTGAAATGCAATAATTGTATTATTTAAGTACTCTATTTCTGTAGAATATTGGTTATATTTAATCAATAATAAATCAGTGAAAACATTAGTAATATAATACTTATTTATGAATTGTATAAGTGTCTCATGATTAAAATATTAAACACTATCAACTTAAAAATAAAACTTATTATAATAATATATTAATATCTATTCTTAGAATTATAAGTAGCTATTTGATGCATTGTTTCCTACTATTAAAGAAATTGGTTCTACGTTGTTTAGTATGATGATTTTGACATGGATAAACTACTTTTAGTTCTTGCCATATCCTATTCTATCATAAAATTAATATAATTAGTAAAACTTAATTTTTAAGATATATATTTTTAATAATGATAATTAAATAAATTTATTTTTCATTAGGCTAAACAAGGCATTGGTCCACAACATCAGAGATGGTTTTTTGGTGGTAAGCTATTGGGTGATAAATTACATATAGATGAAGCTAGAATTCTTCCTAGTTATGTTATTCAAGTAATCATTAATCCTGAACCAATACACGAAAGCTGAATTCTATGTGCTGTCATTTCGTTTTTTGATACATGCTTATCTATTTAGGATTAAATTGAAATTGATGTTACATAAGTACATTTAAATTCTAAATATTTTATTTTTTATTAAATGCTTAGTTGTATTTCAGTAAAATGTCATAATTTTTATAATTACCTAATCTATAGGTCAAATTTCACTTTATTTCATTAATTAACATCATTATGACATTTTTAATGCTTACAGATTCTTACTTTAGTTTTATTATGCAAAAAAAAGATAATTTTAAAGTTTGAAACATGTAATGCTTATGATAAAATCAGGATATAAGCAAAACAAAATATAAATAGTAAAATGTTTTGGCATTATAATTTTATTATTAAATACTTTTAATTTAATTTTTTGTATTCAATTTAACGTTTTTATCTTACTTTCATAAGTTTTTAATGAACTATTTTGTATGTGTGATCATGGTATTGTATTTAATGAAAAATAGATAAGAGTACAAACTTATAATGATCAAATTTAATAATATCAATAAACTATAAAATAAATTCCCTTGTAAATTTTATACTAAGTGTTAAGTTAAAGTATTTATGATAAACATTTTATTAATAACATTGTTTATAACATTTTCTACACTTATTTAAAAATTTAAATATTGTTACTTATTAATTATTATGTTTGAATTTAATGTTTTTATTTATATATTTTTTAATATTTAAAAAATGCTATTAGTTTTTTTTACTTTGTATTTTGTTTTTTTTCTAGTTAATGTTAATTGATTTTGAAGTCTGTATGTTTAAGTATGTTTAATTATTGCTAAATATTAAAATAAAAAATAAAAATAAAATAAAAACAACAAATAAGTTTGTGCTAATAATGTAAATTATGTCAAATTCACTACTCAAATGTTATGTATTAATTTTTTTTTAAGTATCAAACCAATCAAGTTCTTCAATAACCTATTAATTTTAAGTAAATGAAAATTGATTTATTGACTAATGTCTACTTTAATCTTGAACAACAATACCAATGTGGGATTAAAATAATATTTTATCAATGTAATAATTATTATATTTAAAATTGAAAATATGAAAAAAATAAACAATCATTTTAGTTTTTAGTTTTTTTTGAATTAATAATGAATTTTTCTTTAAGTTAATACTTATTTATAAAATACAATCTCAGTAGAGTTTAATATTTTCCTTTTTTACTTGTAATTGATCATCCTACAATTCATCTCTCTATTAATTATCCATGAATTTAATCATTTCCTAAAGAAATTTAATTCAAAGAAATTCTTAAATAATATGTGTAACTTTAAGCTTGCTAACTGCACAGTTTTATGCGATTTCCGATGACAACGACGCGACTCCAGATAGGCTCCAGTTTGGCGGAGAAACCGGATAATGAAGTCACTACTCACTCTCCGGTTCGCAGACATTGTATATTCATATTACATTAATTTAAAAAAATGTTCACACTTTTTTAAATCAGCTTTATTTTTTTTCAACGTATTTAAAAATACATTAACAATAGCAGCCCTATACAACGACGACTAGCTCTTATTCTTATGAAAAACAAAATCATTGATCATGATTCACCTTGATTTTATTTGCCATGGATATGGATACGATTTATACAAATCGATAAATTCTTCCAAAATCTTACGGCTCATTATTATATAATATAATAATATACTCGTATTATAATAAAACAGGTATAAATGTTATAACGTTAAATGAATATATGTGTATGATGCAACTGCGATACCGAAAAAAGTTGGTTGGACGATAAAGTGAACACACTCTAGTCTGCCTGTACAGTCATAATTGCACAGTAGGGCGGAGCGAAAAAATGAACTTAGAATTCAAAACTTTTAATAGGATAAAAAATATGTGTTTGGGTCCCTAAAGGCTGTATAAAAAAATTGCATTTATCTAAAAGAAAATTAAGAGGTGGAGCAAGGCATTTGAAGTATAGTAATGTTATTTGCTTTATATATCGAGTTATTCCATATACGACATACACGTTGGCTCCTCCATACTATTGAATTCTAAGAAACATTTAATTGGCAATTTCTTATACATTCGGCAATTAGCCTTGTTGTGTTACTCGTAAATTATCGTTAATAGTAGTAACCCGCATAGAACAATGCCTACTCGCTACCCAGCTCATAAATCAGACGTTGGTCGCGATGGTCACGCGATGTCTTGGAATAAGTCCCACATTCGCTATATAAGAAACCTAGACGTCACAGTTCGGGTTTAAAATACGACGTTCTTATTGGTCGATTTCAAATTGCCGCGCTTTTATATATGAATTATTATTGATTATCTATATTTTAATTATACTATAATTATGTTTAATTATGTGATAACCATCACTTAATCATCATATTAATATCATTGTTATTATTAATTATCACTTAATAATATATATTTGATGACTTGATGTACAAATATTATTTAATTTACTTTAATTTATCTTATTTATTTCATCTATGATGATAGCACAATAATAATAATTCATATATAAAAGCACGGCAATTTGAAATCAACCAATAAAAGCGTCATATTTTAAACCCGCACTGTGACGTCTAGGGTTTCTTATATCGCGTCCCGTTCATTGTTCCGTACATAATGATAATTATAGTCACTCAGCTACAGCCCCCCCCCCCCGAAATTTTTTAAAAAACAAAAAATATTTTAAACGTATGTTATATTTTAATGCTGCTTTATGCTTTGTATAGATAAGTACCTACTGTGTCTTTTTAGTAATTCTGAGATAGCAGTGGTAATTTAACTCTGTCCATAGTAGCCCTTCCCGAAAATATTTTCTGTATACGACACTGGCGTGAACATTTAAAAAAACCATGCGCAACCAGGATTTTTTCAAGAGGGGTGTCCGCCAGTAGCGTATACAGTTGTTCCTCAAGTTTCAGATGACATATATATATTTAGATAAAATTCACATATAATTTTGGTAGTTATAAAATTTTCAACTTATTAGGTATACAATAAAAGTATTATACTAAGTTTATAATGATACAATATAAGTAGGTACCACAAAATTTATAACTTTATCATAATTACACAAGAATAAAATATTTATTATATTTTAATGACATTATAACATTCATTTTATCGTATAGTTTCTATGGCCTATGTACGATGATTTTATTTTATTTTTTTGCTCTTATTGACTATCAATAATAGATTGCGGATTTCTAATTGGTCTTCCTGGATACCTTGGGTCCACGATCTTAGGTAATAGACAATCGTAAAAAAATTTTTGTAATTTTGAAACGTTTGTTCTTCCCAAAATTGTTTATCAAAAAAGATTGTTTCCGTTTTTATTCCTATTGGAATCCACACAACAAATACACAAAACTTTTTTTTGTACAATTTTCATTTGTTCTTGAACTTGATAGTGACACTTGTGTCTTATTTTAAAAATTCCAATACACCCATATTTATTTATAGATCAAAAATCAATTATTTTATTTAATATGCTTTCATCGGGAATCATATTAGCAGCAGAATATGGACATTTGATTTCGATCAGTCCATCGTCATCCATCTGGAGTAGCTCATAAAAAAAAATGCTCTGCATCTGTACATAACTATAACGAGTGGAGTTCCGTCACTATCAATATTTCCTACCAAAATTGCTAATTTTGCTTCTTCTTTAGCAGCCTCTTCCATTGCATTAGGTGCAGCCTTTTCAAATCCCAAACAAACAATACTATGATGTCTATCCGGTGCCGCAACTACTCTAACTTGGGTCTGTGTGTATATAAAATTAATGCCCCCCCTCGTATCCGGACACTGCAGAGAAACCGTACTTTTAAACAATTGTGACCAAACTATTTTGAATTTCGATTATATAGGCCGCAATTATTTGTTTATTTTCTTTCTACATATTTTTCATTTATTATTATTGGACCCTATTATAGACTGGAGCCATGGGCCCGTGTGTTTGACATACGCAACGCACTTGGTTATTGCGGCTTTGTGTCTATCATATATATATATATATATATAGGTTATATAGGTATATATTGTGAAATAGGAAGTACCTCGACTGCAAATGCAAAAGTCTCCAACTGGCTAAATCCCGCTCCAATATTCATATTTGCGACTAAAATCACTGTATTTAGATTCATTACTTCTTGATCTAATTTTTTTCTAAATTGATTACTTTTTGAGTTTTACACAACAAACAAATGAATTAAAGCTTGATATTAATCCATTCTGTTTTTCATTCACACATACCATGTCCTTAAAGCTACAGTTGAAAGGTTTATGGTGTTCAGCATCTACTACTTGTTTAAAAATAAAAGCTATGTCGACAATTCTACGTCTAAATAAGCTATGTATTTTGGTATCAGTGTTTTAATGGGTGAAGTGCTAGTATTTAACTATGTATTTTCTACTTCGACAAATAATTGAGTTGGGCTGTCATTTTGTATTTGATCCAAATTACTATTTTTTCTGTAAAATCTTAAATTAAATCATCAAAATATTATAATATTATACTAAAACATCTAAATTATAAAAAAAAAAAACACGGAGTTATTTTTACATTTCGTTGTTTAACGATGTGGGAGTTTTTAATTGAATTGATAAATCTTCTGTGTTTTTTTTTCGGTGCATATTTTTTACTAATTTTAAAATAATTAAATCGAACTTGACTGGATGGTTGTCGACTGTCGAATAATGCTTATAATCAATAGCCGAGGAAAATAATCTTGAAAAAAAATTATATCTACCTATCTATATAGTAGTGCTACCTAACCTAGCAGTGCCGTATTAAGTAATTTTGCGCCTTGGCGCAAAAAAAAAATTGGTGCCCCTCTAAGGGGCCTATCCAGGGAAAATTTAATAGAAGATCCTTATGAACCTTTTAGCTTTGATTATAGAATAGATATTCTAAAATCAATGCTATTTTTGTGTAGTAAGTATGCAATAACATAATACACCGTATTATTATAAATAACTTATGTTTATTGACATTATCACAACAATTTTGGGAACTGATATTAGGTATATTAATAATATTCTAGATTGCTGATAGCTATATTGCTATAATTACATTAATAATATATATTAATCAATTAAATACATTAACATTAATTTATGATACTGTTATTAAAAACCAAAAAAATAATAATTTCAAAATAATTTTAAAAGTTCAATAATTTACAAGTGAGCAAATTTCCGACCACAAAATTTTGGCATCCTCAAAAAACTTGCACCCGGGGCAGTTTTAGCCAGTGCCCCCCCCCCTTAATGCGGCCTTGACAGCAGAACTTTCTTTTTCTGTTCTTCGGCGTTTAAAAACAATTCTACGATGAAGGCGCGTACACAAGGGGGGAGTTTTAGGGGTTCAAACCCCTTCCGAAATTCTGGAAAATGATATTAAATATGTTTTTATATAGTAAAATTGGTAGATTATATTATTATGAAAATGTACAACTTAAAACCCCTCCCAAAATATTTTTTTGTGTACGCGCTTGCTACGATCAACAATGGCTCAAACACGACTTAATGATATAGCGGTATTCATTTTAAAGTACTTTTACTAAACGCTCAGTAAAATTACGGCGCGGTAAAACAACGCTAGTGTGTTGCCAGCCTAATAGTTTTCAATCTGACAACGTTGTACACAATATATTTTTTTTTTACCGTGCTCAATCGGGTCATCAAAAAGGTCGGCCGATAACGACCGTGCTCAATCGAGTATCACCGAGCGGTATTACATGTACGTAAGCAAGAACAAATAAACATTGACGATGTTGCCAATAAATTTTACTAATAAGACCAAATAAGGCAAAATACATTTGCGGTTTGTTGAAAATGTAGAAATATAAACCTATAACTACCTATAACCTATAACTAAATTTTAAAATCTGTATACAGACGCACAGAATGTTATTTCTTATTTATTTAAAAATTAAATTAATTTTATTACCTATATAAGTTAAAATGCACTTAAATTATTTACCAAAAGAATAAATAAATGTTTTGAAGAAAATATTTTAGTTTTATTTTGCTTGCGAGTTTTCATTATTTTAAGAATTAAGGCTAAAACGTATTTATAATTTTTTCAACTTTTATCTTAGGGCATATATTTTGGGGATAAGAAAAACCATTTATATTGTATGTCGTCTAGGCTTTTTTCCTTAAATCCGCCACTGTCTCTTTCCTATACAAACTGGTAAACGGACTCGTGTCCTGCCCCCCACTGTTAGAACGTATCCCTTCTTATGTACCACAATATAACTCCCGATATTGTCCAACATTCCATCAAAAAACACACCGTACAAATTATGATCAAAATAGCTATTTAGTTATTTAGCTATTTATTTAGCTATTTAGGACTAGTCCTCTAAATCGACTCTTTGCCGAAGGCAATGCATCAAAATTTGATTTTTTCTTTTATAGTCTATTAGACCTTAAACGCCATTATTCTAATTTTTAATTATTTCCTTTATTTAGATTTATATTAGTCTTAATATTATATTGTTCACTACACTTAAGTTACTATTATTTAGACTTTTATTTTACTTTTATTAAATTAGTCTTAATATTATCAGTGTTCGAAATGGAAAATTTTATGAACCGGAACGTTTATAAAATTAATATGTGAATTATAATATTAATTTTTAATTTTTATTATTTTAATTAGTGTTTACTTTACAATACAATATAATTAGTTAAATAGATACAAATATTATAAGTAATTTTAAGCTGTAAAATATTTGTTGTTTTAATATGGCCCTTTGAATTTTTATGTTCAAGTTTTTTTTTTTTCGTAAACTAGACATTTGGGAATCTTTTGTTTGTCCATTTAATTCTATTGAACACTCTTGCCAAGGTTTTGAAATACGTGAATTTTTTTCGCCAAAGAATCCCAATTACTTTATTTTTTTGCATACAGTACAATCAGTGGCGAAGCCAGGATTTTTAAATGGGGGGGCTAACCACTTTTTTTGGATAAGTAAGGTAAGAGAGGATATGACAATTCACCCTTGACCCCCCCACCATCTACCACCAAGTTTCTAAACGTAATTCAAGCATTTTAGTATAGTTTTAAAAATATTTATTAATATATAATTTATAATAATAATAATAATTTTGGTTTCAGTGTTCAGTCACTTGCTCCACTCTGACAGCTGCATCCTCTTAGGCGAATTTCTGGCAAATTCAGTTATTATTTCACTTTCATCGAATTGCTCTTTTTTATTTATAATAGCCATTTAGCCATTTAGCCATATTTATTTAGCCATAGCTAACTCATTCAGTCTGTTTTCCGACATGGTGCTTCTTAAACATTTTTTTAAGCGATTAAGTGCTAAAAACGTTCGTTCCGGAGTGAAAGAGGTAACTGGTAACGTGGAGAATAATTGTAAAGGTATTTTAATGTTAGGTCGAAGATTGGTGCGATGAGAGAGTGAATCAAGAGCAGATTTCGATTTTGGAATAGTATTTTGACTCCATTGTTGCCTCCATATGAACAGGTCAGCTCTGATTGTAGATGAGGTATCATCATGGAGATCTTGGACATATATTTTAGCAGCTTTTATAATATTTTTATCGTCATACATATTTAAATTGGCCGGAATAAGTCCTTCAAGTGGCATAACATCAATAAGCCTTTGATTAAAACGAGCATTGATTCTATTAAATAGTCAAGATACATTATACATATAAACACGGCCCGTGAGGGAGGCTATAGCCCCCTTAGCCCCTCTCCCCCTTGGCTACGCCACTGAGTACAACCTAACTTTTTATTTTCTACAAATAACCAATTATATGATAATTTAAACCCATCATACTGACTTCTATTCCAGTAAGTTGGGATACGTATATCACAATCAAAACTTTCAACATTTTCGACGACCGTTTGAGGATATTCTAATGCTACTTTTTTACTAGACTTTTCTGTTTCTGAGGAATTGTTCGGATGTTTGTTGACCAAATTTAATAAAAACGAACTCATAACTTATAATTATATTACTTAAAAGTAAAACAGACCTCACACATATACGGATACACTAAGTGCTCTACCGGAGTAAAACAGACTTATCAAGTATTATCAAACTACAATCAAAATATAATTAGGTATACATTATACAATGTACACATACAGATTACAGATATATGAAATGCAATTAGATAAAATATAATTAGGTAGGTACACAATACACAATGTACACATACAGATTACAGATAGTCGATAGAGTTCGTTACAATTTGTGATAGAATACTTACGTATTTTTACGTTTTATTGCCTTTTATCGCGGTCACGGCTTTAATTGCAGCGTAGCCTGTAGGTACTTTTCAATCATTAAATCATTTACGTTTTTATTACGAATTGTGATAATACGAAGAAACAATACGCGTGATGTTAGGTGAAGCCTCTTGGAGTTCTATAAAAATTGAAATTACTATCTATATTAAGTATATTATATTAATTTAATATTTTTTCGAAAGGAAATTTTATAATTTTAATCCTCTATATTGTGATACTGTCGATTTTTACGAAATGGAACTTAAATTTTAATTTTAACCAATCAGAATGGACGTTAAGGTTATATTACGAACCGGAATGCCGTTCCGGAACGTTCCGGTCCATTTCGAAAGCTTCATATTATAATACTATTATATTACTACAAGCTTATCGGGCGTTAATTCAATAAAAAATAAAATAAAAAATATATAATCAATTCTTCCGAGGATCTTCTTTTTGTAATTTTATTCGAATATTCTCGGCCTATCAGGTTTCATATTGCATGTCGTTTTTCTACTTCAGTAAATAGCTCTGTGTCGAACGATGATCCTTCCATTATTAACAAATACGTAAATGGATAATAAAATTCGAGCTAAAAATGTGCACAGTTAATTATTGGTTGGTAAAAATGCTACAATTAATCCATCTACAACCAGTGATGTTCCTAAAAAATGAAAACAAACATAAACATTTACATTTTAAATTGTATATAAAAAATAATTTAAATTTAACCTTTGATGATAAATTTTAATTTGAAGTTGTGAAATAGAGTATTAATTAGTAAACTTTAAAAAAAAAAAAATTAAGATCATTACTGTCTACAACAGTATCGTTTTATTTTCTAATAACCGAAAATAACTGGTATTTTTCAGAATTATTTTTTTGTTTTAGAACAATTCTTTTTTTTTAGAAAACCAGAACCTTTAAAAAAATGAATTTAATAACCTTAACCGAAACTGAAAAACTAAATTGGTTCTAGTTGCTGAAACTAGATGATAGAAGTATTTTGGTATGTATCACACAACTGTTCTGGTAACTGGTAAATATCCAAACCTGTAATTTGTAAAACTGTGTACTATTTTTGTTCTTTGGACTTTTATAATTATTTTGAGGTTAGTTAGCTGCATCAATTTTTTTACTGATTATACGTTTTTAGAATCGTAGTATATATTGTTTAATTATTTCGGCAAAGGTAAGATATTTTATTTATTAATTATTAATTGTATTATATTTATTGTTTTTATAAACCACAGGAGTTTCTTAATAATGGATAAACCAGTAGTATTATCTAGAGTTTTGAAGGTATTAGGACGGACAGGATCGCAAGGTCAGTGTACTCAAGTTAAAGTGGAGTTCATTGGTGAACAAAACCGTCAAATCATTAGAAACGTAAAGGGACCTGTTCGAGAAGGCGATATACTTACCCTTCTTGAATCTGAGAGAGAAGCCAGAAGACTTAGATGATGTAAGGATATTCTGTACATAAAAACTCCCGTTTTTAAATTTGATTAACTTTAAATCATCAGTTATTAATTTAATTTTATCCATAGTTTACTTTCAGTCGGATGCATTTAGTTTTGTGATAAATTTAAATGACGATAACTATCATTATTTATTACCTTATACTAGTTTTCTTAAGTTAGGTCATTGATAACATTTACCATACATATTTGTAGACTCTTCACCAAGAGAACTTACCACGGCATAACCAAAATTAGTTCATTCTTGCGCATTCCCAACCATAGATTTTCTCACCGAGACCACATAATAATATAATAATTTTCGTATGAACATTTGTATTCTATATAGGTGACAATAATCAATTGTTTGTTTACTGAATGTTGTATTATTGGTCAGCTATTTTTTAAATTATTGAGTAACTAAGAGGGGGAAACGAGAACTTGGCTATGACTCAATCGTTATTCTACATAATCAGAATCAGCACTTTTTCTCGTTGGACAAACTAGATTTTGTAATTTAATATGATAATTTAACTTTCTGTTTTCCTAAATTACATTACTAGTACATATTGAATTATTTACCTACATAGTTATATATTTCAACAGGTCAAATCTATTTTTATCAAAAATCAAAATATTTAACTATGAAATTTCATAATTTATGTGCATGATTCTGTTATTATTTTAATCTATCAAATAAATGTATTTGTAAATTACTGATATCTCAATACACTCAATATATAAATCAGTACAATTTTCTTGAATAAAATAAAATTTGTATGAGTAAATTATTTTCAATATATACATGTCAACGTTAGACTAGGATAACAGTAATTTTAAAATGTTTAATGTAGTAGATAGTGATAGTTATGTTTATCAACCTATAATAACAGAAACAAATATTATATATTTAAGCCTTTGATACTTACTAACAAAACATCAAATTGAAAAAAATTCCCTTTAAATATAAAAATATGCCAACACTTTATTTACAAGATTACCAATCATTAAAATAGTTTTATTGATTTCAGGTTTTTAAAATACATGTTCCTTCTGAAGAACATTTAAGAAGAATACAAACATAGACACTTGAATATGTAATTAAATATACAAGTTGGCACAATAAAGAAAATTGTTGCATTATAACTTATTTTTATTTTTTTATTTTTACATACAAATATAGTACAAATAGTACTCTATAAAAAATAAAAACCAAGAGAAATATGTCAAGTGATTTAATTTATTTTCTTTACAGTGATATTTATTCTTAATGTATTCATTAATGAATAGATAAATCATAGTCCAGTGGATGATAAATCTCAGATAATAATCTGTACACATATGAAGGAGAATGGCCACCACTAAAAACATGTATACAATTAATACGTGACACATTTAATCAAAAAAACTATTATTAATGCATTACTTGTTTGAAATAAATAGTGTAACATTTTCTGGTGGAACATAATCATATGTAGGATTATAAACATCAACTTTTGATACAACTGAATCTGAATAATTAAGAACGCCATCTGGTGATACAAACTCATTAAATGCATCCTGATTGTATGAACACAAATAACGCGAGCTTAATTTATACATTGGTGCTAAGACTATTACCTAAATAACCAATTAACATTTAGTAAAAAAAATTGTATTATTTAAGTCATGTAATATTACAGGAACCGAATAATGAGCAGCAGCTAAAGAAACAGCATGACAACCATTAAATGTTCGTAACCCTCCATTGGCCATAACAGAATCTACACCAATAATTACTTTATTTACTCTAGACATAATACCAAACATTGTTGAGTCTGGAATTAATGTAGACTGTATTTTATGTTTTGAGAGATTAAGAGCTAATTGTCTACCCTAAAAATGTACAAAAATTAAATTTAAAAAAACAATGTTTTTTTGAGGCTTAATAGGCTTACGTGATTTAAGGGAGCACATTCTGTAACGAATACTTCAAAAGTTCGGTCTTTAGCAGCTTTTTTTAAAAACATTTCAACTTCTGATGATTTACCAACAGTAAGAATAATTTCATTTGAATGAATATGTTCAAGAGCTTGTTTAGCAATATCTTCATTACTTAAAAAATATTAAATATACTATTTATGTATTGAATGGCAAGTTAAAGTAAATTAATGTTATAATAATTGTATTACCTTGATTCTATCTCAACTTGGAATTCATCCAAATGTTCGAAAATTGATAATTTAAGTTCTGGGACAATAGTATTATAGTCATCTATATCATCTTCTGATGAAACAATCTTATGTAATGAGTCTTGTAAATCAATTTCTTCTTCTGTGTTCTATTTTTTATAATTAATTAAGTATTTATATCATATAATATATATACACACACTTATACATAAGATATAGTTACTTTTCTAGCATCTATGTATTCTTCTCTAATAATATTTAATATACGCCTTACAATATTACCAACAATAAATTGCAATGGTAAGGCAGATGTAATTTTCATTCCATAATCTCTCAGTTGATTCAGTAATTCCCTTAAAAAGAAAAAGAAATAAACCATGCTAAATACGGTTATTTAATTGAGATTAAAGATCCTCAAAAATTGAGTTATTGAATACCTCTTTAAATACAAATATTACTTACTTAGTAGTTGACCATTTAATTGTGTCTATAAAATGCCTAAAAAGCTTTACAGTTTCTTCTGCAATGGTATAGTTATTTTCCCATTTCCTAGAATATATTAATTAATTTATATAAAGAAAAAAAAAAAGATGGTTAGATACAATTGAGAATGATATGAGAGCTGGATGTGTGTGCGTAGTGGATGTAGGAAATCGAGACGAGTGGAAGTTTAGGACAAGGAAAAGCAGAAGAAAAGATACAAGCTCAAATTGAATACTGAAATATATTAGTTATTTAGTTACATATGTATATGATTATCTAAAAAATATCATATTTTATTTGGTATTTGTAGAAAACTAGAATAATCAACACTTACTTTCTTTTAATATTTGAAATATAATTATCTAACAACATTTCATGAGGTTCATCAATTATGTCAAGCATTTTATAATTTAACAAGCAACGACTAAAATTAGTTGGAAATATCTCAGATTAAATATATATATATATATTCAAATTTAAATTGATTATAAGAAAATTATGAGAAATATCATTATCAACAATAAATCATCAAAACTTTTTTCCACGGTTTCAGAAGACCCAAGACCGTGTTTTTATCGAAACTATAATCAAAATGTTAAAATTGATAACAATGAATTATTATCAAGGTGGATAAATATATCACAAATATATATATATATATCCTATATATCCACTTTGGTCCTATCCATACATTTATTATCAATTATTTTACATCACGGACTAAGATAATATTAATTTAGTTCATGTTTTACATTTAATATTTTTGATAATTATATGTTTACTGATAATCACAATAATTAATATCTCAATTAAAATATACACATAGGTACATCATGAATAATTAATATATTGTCAACTTCCCTACGACCAACTACAGAAGACAGTTTTGTTTCTATAAAATTGGAGTAAAATACGGAGGTTCTGGTACAGTTATACCAATTTATGATAACAATTGATAACAGTGAACATGATGAGAACAAAAAAAATCCCCATTTCGTTTTCCAGCAAATAAATAAATAATTTACTTAATACCAAACATAAAATATTTTACATATATTTGCGGCAACTCTGAACTATAGATATGCCATGAGATTAGAATATCAGGTGATCAGTGTATCTATAAATATTAATTTTTGATAAACACTAATAAAAACTATGAAGGATAATAAATTAATTGAGTAATATTATTTATTATAAACTAAGTATAATACGAGGACTAGGATTGTTAAAAAGTCTGTACCTCTCCCGTTGTATATGTTTTCAAATCGATGAGCCGTTTGGACAGAAAACATTTAAACTAAACTAGAAAAAAAAATCTTAATGAATAAACACGAGTGTTAAAAGGGTTATGCTTCCCCTATTCACTTCAAAGTTATAATTGTTGGGCAAATAGAAAACGTGTTTCTAATAAATTCGTCATTAATTTTTATTTACTTTTAAATTATTACGGCACTAGTTAATCTGTAAAAAAATATTATTCATAACTATTAAAGCAGTAAATTAAGATAAATAAAAATTCGAATACATTTCCAACTTATAACAGAAAATTTGTCATTGCATTTCATGCATTGAGCAACTGTTCTTCCCACAGTTGTAAGTTGTTTTATTGTCTATGCGTATGTGCATTATTGACGTCTTACAATTATTTCCTAATAATTTCATAATTTTAATCATCATAGATATTATGACCTCAACACATTTTCAACCATTAGACCAATATATGAAATTATACATTCAGGCTAATAAAAAGAAATTAGTGAATTAAAAAAAAAAAAATCAAAAATTAAATTAATTTAATCATACTTGAATAAAAATTTAATCATATTCAAAATCTTTAGCAACATATTGATATACATATAAAAAAATGTAATTTGTTTCAGTTGCATAAATAGCAGATAACAATTAATTTATATAATATAATCAAAGTATGTAACAGAAAACCAAATTATTTTATAAATTAATTTAATAAAACAATATTCGTAATTTTTGCTTTGCTAATGAATTTAAATTTATATTGATTTATTTATATAAATTTATATTGAGTAAAAAATGTCAACTTTCTTAAATGTATCTAATACATATCTACCTAATTACTCAACGGATCACTAATTACAATGATTATTTTAAAATACTAAACTTTATGTTTAAACAATTTTTAAATGATTTATAAAAATTAATAATAAATTAGTGAACAAGATACAGGATGAAATACACATCGATTCTTATTCCATTAACTTAAAACTTTAATTTTGTACATGAAATTAATTACCAGTCCAATATTTGATTTTTATACATACAATTCACTTCTGTAACTAATTTTTAGGTGCTACAAACCAAATTAAAGTATTTTTAATGTATCTAATTTAAGTTGAATACTTTAAACTAAGTGACGAATAATTTTTACATATACTCATATTTGCTCTTATATAAACTTATAAAAATGTAAATATATATATAAAAAAAAAATTATAAGTATTAAAAATCTATATATATATATAAAAAATAAAAGAATATAACTTAAAATTATAAATGAATATGAAACTAAGGTGATCAGAAATAAACACTTAAAATGTATGAATATAATTACATTTTGCAAGATTTCTTACATAATAAGTCATAATATCCAGCTTAATATAATTTTATTATTTTAGTAACATTTATTTTTTAAATTTAGATGGTATACGACTTTCTGAGCATTTCCTGTTTGATGAATTAGATACATCAGATAATACAGGAACTCCTAAATACTTGGGTATTACTCTTTTTGGCTTGATGCTATCATTTAATAATGATGAACTGTTTAATCCATCATTTTTCATAGCTGATTTGTCTGTTACTATACATGGTATTTTACTTTTTGCCAATACTTCAGACTTTTTCAAACTAGCTAAATTAGTAAAGTTATATTTATTTTCTAAGTCACTCATTTCATGGTAGCATTTATGTGATTTAAATTCACTTGACTTAGTATTACTTGGATAATTTGCTGGTTTTTCACTGCTTCTGAACATATTTTTAATTTTGTAAATCATTGACACTGGAGTTTTTAATTCTTCACTTTCAAATTTCATCTTCTTTTCAATACTGCACAATTCCTGAACTGGCATTTTTCTTTTATTATCTTCATCCGCATTATTAAATTCAATACTATGAAAAGACTCATTACTTGAACTCTTTTTTTGTGATTCCATCAAAAATGATACATTGTCCATCTGAATATCAGTCAATAATGTATCATTGAAATTTTTTTTAGATTCTCTTAGATAAATTGTCATTTTATTAATTTCATCTGCATCGTTATTCAAAGAGTTTTCTGTTTTATTATCAGGGTTTACATTAATAACAGAGTTTTTAGATGAAGGAAATACTTGTCCATTTGATGTAGTATTAGCCATTGACATATCAATAAAATTAGTAACATTTTCATCAGGTTTAATATTTATATATGTATTTAAATCAGGTGTCTGTGTCATTGTCTGTTCAATAATACTGAAATCCACAATAACACATTCTTTGGAATTTAAACTTAATTTTTGGTTTGAATTCACTATAGAGGAATTAATATTTTCATCATTTTTTTTTGCAGGAACAGTAGGTAAATATTTTGTTCTGGGTTCAATTTTTTCAGTTGTACCAGTTAATTCCAAATTCTCAATTTGTCCTACAGTTGTATCTAAAGAATTTGAGAGCTTATCTTTTATAATTGAACAATTATTGTCATCTAAAGATTTTGAATCAAATATCTCTCCTGTACTCTGATTAGCTTCCATTTTGGGTTGACACATTTCATCAGAATATATTGATTGATTTAAATCAGTATCAGTAACATTATTTAACATAGTAAAATGACTTTGATCAGATAAATTAGTTTTTATAGACTCATCCATAAAACATTCAAAATCAGGAGCTGAAACAGTAGAGAGATTATTTAAAAAATTATCATTGAAAGAACTTTTTAATTCTTTTTTAAAAATATCACTATTTTCAGAAACTGTTTCATCAAATTCTTGCATTTGATCTACTGAACTAAAATCAATTAAAGTATTTTTGTTATTCAATGTTTTATTTGAAATCGTTCCTGGAATACTTTTAGAAACTGGTGTTTGTTCAACAATACTAAAATTTAAAAGCTTTTGTTTGTTTGATTGATTTCTATCATTGAGTGTTGGTTGTACAAAACTAAAATCCAACAGTTTCTGTACTTTGGGAGTATTAGTCTCAAATTGCTGTACTTTTTTTTCAGTCTCAAAATCGAAGAGATTCTCCATTCCATTATAATTTTCTAAACTATTTTTAGATACATTCAATAAATTTGATTGTTGAACGTAATTATTAAGTAAATTTTGTTCTTGGTTAGGAGTTTTTGGTTCTGTATTCAATTCTACATTGTCAAAATTAGAAATCTCTGCTACATCTTTTTGATCAAAGTTTTTATCATCATCCAAAACTAAATTTGTACTTGAAATATTTCCATTTTGAATTGATAATTTATTAGATACTTCATTATTTTTTTCTATATCATTACATGCACTTTCTTCCAAGGTTCGATTTTCAATTATAACAGACAAATTCGATTCTATTGGACCATAATCAGCAATAGAAATTTCCTTGTTTTCTACAGAGTTCATTGAGACATCAGAACAATGTATGTGTTTTAATTTATTTTCTTGAGTTACATCATTATTATCATATTTATTTATTTTGGTATCATCACAGCATGTTAAAGAATTATTAAAGGACATTTTATATAAGACTGGTTCAATGTCTAAATGTTGTTTTATGTTAAGTGATGTGCTTTCCAAAGCTGTAGGTACTGCATTTGAATAATTATGTTCAGTTGTATCCAAATAAGAATTATCTAATTTGGTAAAATTTTTTAAACTATTATTAATATTAAATTCATTTGTTTGTAATGTTTCATTAATAGTTGTATCAGACATAATATCCATGGATTTTTCTTCATCACATATTTTATTGATATTTGAAAGATCTTGAATTTGACTGATTTCTTTTAATGGTTCATTATAATTGTTTGTAAAAAGTTTTTTATCATATGCATCACCATATGTTGAATTTAGAACACTAGAATCATTTGAATATTTTTTTACATTCAAAGAGTCCAGTGATTTTTCATTATCATTATCACCATTAACATTTATCTCAGAAACAATATTTAAAGCATTATCAAAATCAACTTTAATTAAATCATTTTTTACAGATTCTAACGGTGTATCCAATAGCTTATTGTTAGAATAAGCCGATTCTTTTTCTATGTAAATACTTTCATCAGCAGGCATTACTTTAACATCTACATTAGAATGTTGAGTATCATGCTTATCATTTTTCAAAACTTCATCAGATGCAGTATGATACAAATTTTCTATACTTGAAAAAGTATTCATAGTGTCATAGTCCATTAAATAACTTGAATTTTTTTTATTTGTTTCGATAACAACCATTGTAGATTCTAATTTGTTTTCACTAGTATTATTAAAATCAATTGTAGATAAATTGTTAATTATTTTACTAGTATCTGATGCATTTAGATTTTCTTCACCTACAGATGATGAATAATTATCATCAATAATAGTGATTGAAGAAGTATTAAGAATGTTAGGCAAAACAGGAGTTGTATTTTCTTTAATCCTATCCATCGATGGGGCAGATGATACAATAGTTTTAGAACGAATTGATGGATTAGTGTGGCGCATATCAAATATTCGTTGTTTTCCAGGTGTTATATAATATTCATCAGATACAAGTGAATCATCATTGCAAACATCTTCAAGAACTGAGTCATCGTAATAACTTAAATCTTTATTTTCTACCTGACCAAAAGGTATTAATGTACATATGTTTACAGCCATATCAGGAGTACTAATTTGCTCATCACTTATATTTTGTTTGATTATATCAGGAACACATACTTGATTGCACAAATCAGTGACATTACCTATAAATATAAATCAAAATGTATAATAACAAATTTATGAAGTAATTTAAATTTAAGGTACATACAAATAGAATTATTTTCTAATAACTCTATATGTTGACCATCATTGTAACTAACAGCTTGAACTAAAAATATAAAATTAATCATTAAACATTTTTAAAAATAATTGTTATTGTAATGATCAATTTTCACATAAAATTTTTTTTTCTGTAAAAGAAATTATTATTACTCAGTAAAAATAAATTGGTTTTTTTAAAATTACCTTTAAATGTAGAATTATTTTGACCTTCCGAAAAATATTCATCTAAAAATAATATTTAATTAATTATAAATAATTTATTGACATTTTAAATATGACAAAAAATTAAATTAATCAATAATAATGAATAACAAACATAATATAAAATGAATATGAAAATAATAATTTTTTTTTTTTTTTCAAAATGGAACAGAAATAAATACCTAATTACTGTTTCTCTTAGCTGCATCCACACTAGCGTAACAAAATGACGAACTGTTTGTCAAACGGTTCGCCGAACAACTAAAAAATATGTGTGTATGTTAGCGTATTACTAACCAATAAATTACCTTATAACTTAAATAACTTTTCTGAATAACTTCATATTAGTTCAATCTATCATTAAGTATAGACGTATAGGAGTTGAATAGGTAATACATAATTATTAAATATTTTAATTATTGTAATTAAATATTCTAAATGTTACAAATAATGACTATGCTGCAAGGAATGTAGGCAGTTAACTAAACTTAAAAACTGATTATAAATAATAATAGTTTAATTTTGTGTGTTCATGAAAAATGTTCGAAGACATGTCCATAACTGTTGTAACATGTTCACCTAACTTCCTTTGATGTTACGTCGAAATACTGACAACTGATAGTTCACCACTTTGTTCGATAGAATGTTACAAGTTCGCCTATTTGTTAAGCTAGTATGGACAAAGCTTTTAGCTTTTTAGCATATAAAATATATTAAATGTACAAACAAATTCATTATTAAGTAACTCAAAAATGACAATTTAAATAATAAAAAATTATCTATACATTATAATGACTTACCATTTAATGATATTGATTCCTTTCTAATTCTTTCTAATTCTTCTGTATTCATTAACTTTTCTTTTGATATAATTTCAGAAGCACAAGGTGAGGAAAATATTGCTGTAATAAAAATTATAAGATTAATATACTTCAAAAACGGTATAAATTTGTTTCATTTCTACATGTATTAACATTTTGACTAAACATTTTTTATATTTATAAATAAATAAAAAGTATTTAATCAATGTTATTACATATAAATTGTAGTATGGTTTTAATTTTCAAAGTAACAGAAACTAAAGTTAATACTTACAAGAATTATCTTTACAACATTTAATTTCATCTTCTATCATATTATTTGTCATCAGAGTTGTATTAGCTAAAAATAACATAAAAATAATAGTCTTTAGAATTTTACACTTATTTTTATAGTTTTTACCTGAATCATTGTTATGAACTGCTGTATTTTTTTGTATTTTACCCAATACAGATTTATCTATATTTTAATAACAAAAAATAATTATAAATGTGTCATAATAATATAATAAACAATTTTTAATTATCTCAAAACTTTTGAATATATTTTATATTAATTTATAATTTCTTAAAGTTAAGATCAGTGGTTGGGTGGATAACATTTTTCTTTACTAGAAATGTCCTATTTACACAAGACTGGATTTAGATCAAAAGCTGTTACCATTAGATAAATAAATATTGCCCTTTTAGTCTTACTAATATGGAACGTTTACACAGAATTGTAAAAAAAATATTTAGGAATCAATAAAATGTATTAAAAAAATTTATATTTACCATTGTCTTCAATTTCGTGTACATTTGTATCAATACAAAAAGATTGACTGAAAAAAAAATTCAAATTTTGAAGTATAAATTTTATAATGTCACAATTTCATTTTATAACACAAAAAATTAGTTAACTGAAATAGAAATATTGTTACTTCAACATAAAATTATTGAAAATTTCAAGTCTTGTTAAGATTACTATTTTTTAAATACAACTATCTAATTATCTAATCAAAATTAATTTGGTTTAAAACAGGACATTAATAATTGTAAGTTAGATAAATATTTTTCTTTAATCTAAAAAACTTACCTCAACTTTAAGTCTGAAGGTACTACAGTATGACGTGGTAATCTTTTAAACCTCTCAAGTTGACTTTCAGTCAATACAGGACCAAAGCATACAATACCATCATCATACTCATCTAAAATCTCTTTGGGCTCTTCTTCACTCATCCTAAAACATTAAAATTAAAATAAAAATATTAATATTCAATTAATTATATCCACATTAGCATATGAAAAAAATATAAATACAATTATATAAATTATATACATACTCTAAATTACATTTTTTTTACATCAAATAACAGTCAATTTATTTACATATGCATAAAAATAAATTACTTATATTTGAACATTAAAGTTGAGATCGAAGTCTAAAACACAAATTTAGGTTAATTTATAAATTTATTTATTTTTTTTATTACATTAATTTTATTTTCTTAGGATAACATTTGTACAATAAATGTACATAGATTTCATGAGATCATTATTGACTCAAGTACTTTAAAAATATTTAAGATTTATTCAGTTGATACTCAATAAATCTTAAATTAAACTTCAATTAATAACATATATCTATGGGCTTAGAACACAAGTATGAATAACACAACAAAGGACAAACAATTTTATGTAACAGATTTATTAAATTTTTTTTTAATATATATTTATTAAACAATAGGTATTTAAAATGATTTTCATAAATCAAACAGCAAATAAATATGAAGATTTACCAATGTTTTTTAAAATATTTTAAAGTACTGGTTGCTTTTTAAAGACTTTCCTAACATGGCAACTACTCAATACATTTATTATATTACTTATTTCATACTCAATCTTTCGAAAAAGCACTATAGTAAAAATATAAAAGAATTAATATGTATTTCAATAGTTCCTAATCAATTAAAACACCGTACTTTATTTACATTTACCTTTAAAAGGAATCATACTGTGTATAATATATATTATTCATTGCCAGACTAATTTGGATACATGGATATTGCCATATTTAATAAAATACCTGAATCTTTAAATTATTTAAATATTACTAATTGTTTAGTCACTCTGAACAATAATAATTAGTTTATATGTACTTATCAATATAATATACCTATATATAATCTATTTCACACAAGCAACATAAATAGTAAAAATATTATTTTACCTTTATAATTACACTTTAACCAACAATATTTATTGCCTTATTGATTTCTTTAATTAAATATATATTCATAATATTTAAAAATGTATCCAAGTAGTTTACTATTATCCCAAGATTTCCTGTATTTAAAAAGATATCTATAAATGTAAAATAAAATTTAGAACACCACATCTATAAAATGTTTAATGAAATATTAAAACTGAAATAAATGTCAGCAAAAAAAAAAAACTACATATAGAAAGTAAAGTTAGTTAAAATGCCAAAAAGGTTAAATAAAATAAGAATTATAGTCAAATTTATTGTTGGAATATTTCAAAAAAACAATAGAAAGTTTAGAATTATTTTATTTTACCGAGACTGAAAGTTCGATTTCAGCACTTAACGTACAATTATGACACTTGAATAGTATTAATATAGAATATTTATACCAACTACATTACAATTGTTGATACAAAAATAACTGAATACGAACCTGAATAAAATAATGTATCCAATAGCTTTACGATTTAAGTTAATTTTTTCGTTGATATAGATGATAAACTACAGGTAATTATTGAAAATGTTCAAATTGAAAAACCTCAATTATTATGAAATTGTTCACACTTCACACAATTCTACACTTCACTGAACACTTTTAAATACAACGTATAAGTAACAATAAAATTCCGTTAAAAACAGCATGGCGGATAAATGATAATACTCATTTCGACCATGACCGTAGTAGCATAGAGCTCACAATGCCTAACGTTTAAATTTGAATTTTGATGTATATTGTGCATGCGTGCAATTTAAAGTTTCTAATGTCCTTGGCATGTGTAATGATTTCAAAGAAATTGAAAGTTGTAATTATAATGATTTAATGATAATAAAGTAATTATTTTTATAGAATGAAAAAAAAAATTTAAATCATATATGTTTATACATAAATTACTAATTTATCTTTATCTTTATACATTATATTATTAAAACGTGAGGCGATTTCTTGACAGTTATATTTGAAGTTCTACTTGATCGATTTTCATGATTTCTTTTTCTAACGCAAGTACTCGGTATACAGATGAACCATCAAAAGAAAAATGTCCAAAAAATTAATTATTTAAATAGTTATTAGAAGTATTAAGTTTGCCGTATTGTTAAATAACAACCACGACTGCAGCCGGCATAAACCCCACTACTCCTACATCTGCTACAGTACTGCAGATTTGTTGTCCTCGTCGGCCATGTACATTTATATTTTAAATTATAGCATTATACACAGTTTGTTATCGTCGTCGAAAAACCCATAAGAAAAATACTATTTTCGTCTTTTTGCGTACAGCACAGAACAAATTACAAATTTTATTATTTACATTATTTCCCTTTTATTTTAAATGGAATATCAATTTACTCTCATAGCAGGCGATGGCAATTGTTTATTTCGTTCCGTTTCATATTTAATATTCGGCACGCAAAAAGAACATCGAAATATTCGATTAAGAGTTGTTAACTTCATAATTAATAATTGGGATGTGTATAAAAAAATTTTTCATTGTCTTTCGAATAAATTACCTATTTATAATTATAATAATTACGAACATTTATCTTCCTTTTTCATTTACCAGACGTCAATTTCCGATAAGAATAGTTTTTGCTATGACCATAAACAAAGTGTAGGGTCAAACATTGGATAAAGTAGGACTGTATTTACCCCAACCTGCGTTTAGTCATGATCAACTTTATATTGCCATGTCCAGAGTTCGATCATATGAAGAGTTAAAAATATAAATAATACCAAACAACAAAACAGATAAATGAATATAGTTTATAAAGAAATTCTATAATAATAATATACAAATTCGTTGAAATTCATTTGTTTATCAATTTTTTTTGTTTAGGGTGAAATATTTACAGTTTTCCTGTGTATAAATATCTTGCGTTCAGTGGCGCAACCAGGATTGTTTTTGGTGGGGTTGTGAATTTTATACCCCCGGGCATGTGCCTACCCGTGCCCTCCCCCTAAATACGGGTCTGAACAAATCTTTATGTTGTACACCATAGGCGTGCGCATGGTGGTGGACTGGTGGGCGGTGGCCCCCCCTGTGGACTCTGGCTTTTTCTTTAATAAATGTATATCTATACTACACAAGATTGTACACACCATCAGTGGCGCAAACAAGATTGGTTTTCGGGAGGGTTGTGAATTTGGAAAAAATGGTAAACGAATGTTTCGCCCTCGCCATTTCGTCCTCGGCAAAAAACCAGTCCACGGACGTTTCGTACCCGGCAATTATTTAAATAAGACGTTTCGTCCCGGAGGGTTATTAGCCATAGGACATTTGGTCCCCGGCATATTTTGATTAAAGGACATTTGGTTCTGAGGTTTTTTAATTCATTATTATTTATTAATTTTTTCAAAATTCATTATTTTATTAACAATTAATACATTTCTTTTTAATGAACAATTCTGTAACGTCTAATATAGTATATAGGCTATAGGCAAGTAATAAAAATTTTACGTGTACTATACATCCAAACAGGTTTGTGAACTAAAATTCTAAATTTATATTAATACATTAAATGATAATGATGGGGTTTTCAAATAGGTATAAGATATTTAGTATATCAAAAGTTATTAAAATAAACCTTTTCGATAAAAAGTTTTTATACTTCCTATTTCCGCAATTATACACACTCACCTTACACAGTTGTATTTTGTTCGTGTTTTAGTGCGTATATAACACAAATATGGAGTGTATAATTACAAAAATAAATAAAAAAAAATAATTTACAAAAAATGTTTATACTATGAACAATAAAAAGTAAAATTAGGAATCCGGTGGGTGAGTGTTCATAAAGACTTGTGCAATGGAACAGTGACAACTGACGAAGAAATAACTACTGTTTTTAAATTTGGAGGTGATATAGATTTTATTGACGCAGAGAGAGCTAAATGTATAATGAAAAACAGCAAAAAAAAATTATGATTTACCGTCTCAAGTTTATGAACGAAATGTGGTTAATTTATCAGACAAAAGCAAACAATTAATTGGAAATGAAAATTCAATAAAAAGGTGTTTACGGCGTATTCGCAGCAATATATATCCAAAAATTTCAAAAATAGATAAAATTTCACTAGAAGGAATACGTTGGAGTATGACTGGTAAAGAAAATTTAGAGTCGTTTTTATTTTATGACAATAAAAATAGTGAAAACCGTATTATAATTTTCGCTTCACAAAAGTGCATTGACGTATTAAAACGTAACAAAATTATAATATGGATGGAACATTTTCTACTTGTCCCTCCGAATTTTATCAAGTTTATATATTACACGCAAGTGTAAACAATATTATTATCCCTGTGGTGTACTTTACGCTTTAGCGTAAAAATAAAGAAACTTACATTGAATTACTGACTGCTCTAAAAGATGAATTTGAATCACTTTCAATAAAATCAATCGATTTCGAATATTCTGTAGTACTAGCAATTAAGCAAGTATTTATTAATGAAGTATCAGTGCAATTGTGTTTTTACCATTTAAACTAATCTATCTGGCGAAGAGTTCAAGAGTTGGGATTAGCCGTTAGATATAAATAAGACAAAAAATTTAAAGAGGCTGTAAAAATGATTCCTGCCTTTGCATTTCTTCCTGCAAACATTGTAAAAAAAGGTAATTTATAATTTTTTTAATGTAATAAATGTATGTAATCTTTGAGTATTTAAATAAAAATATAGGAATGTCACTACCATCTAATTATTTTAAATCATTGAAAGAATTAGACGATATTTTGGTGTATTTTGATTCAATTTACGTCAACGGGACGTACAAATCTAAAACAACAGAGTACGGTACAATTCGCTTTTTACGACATCCACCAATATTTTCACCGCACATGTGGAACGTTTACAACGCTACAAAAGAAAGCTATGGTCGGACCAACAACGTGTCAGAAGGGTTCAACAGTAAATTAAAAAACATTGTAAGAATTAAACAACCTAACTTATATATATTTATTGAATCGATACAGATGTGCAATGCGTCTGCAATGACTGCATTGGTACAAAAACAAAATTAAATAATAAATGTACCGAAAATACTTAGTTTTAAGGAAAATAATAGTTCGGCCGCAACGTTCAACATGAACACACGCACGTCGTAATCGTCCGCGTTCCGTTATCATATCGCTATTATATAACTTGTCACAATAATATTACGTCATTATCATGCCGTATACACCTAAAACAATGAAGCGAAACCTATCTAACAGTTCGCCCAGACAAATCGACAAAAAAAAAGTTTTTATCACCCTAAACCGTTACGCCGTACTCAACACTGATGAAGACAAGGTACTCGCCACACCTTCAACTAGCACCACGGAAGATCCGGACAGACCACCTCACAAAGTTCACAATGCTAAGCCCGTGGCTCCTCCTATCCACATCAAAAACATATCCAACTTCTTAGCATTCAACACCGTCCTAAAAAATATCACCGGACCCAATGGTTACACCTGTAAGTCAACTCCGTCACACCTCATTGTACAACCCACCGATAAACGAACTTACAATGCAATAATAGATCATTTACATGAAACAAACGCTAGTTTCCATTCATTGGTTTTTTCATAGGTTTTTTGTCAGGGACGAAACGGTGGTGGTGAAACGTCCGCGACTCGGAAAAAATATGCATTTTCTGCAGGTGTTTGTTGGAGATAAGGAAGTAAGATAAAGTTTGGTTTATGAATAAAATATTTAAATTACAAATCAAAATGTTTAGCCTCTATTTCATATTGTGATACCATAAAAAAAGTATTATACAGTCGACTATCGAGAAATCATAGAAGCAAGGTTATTGATGTTTTTAAATTGATCGGAACGCTACAAAATGTTTCATATCGTCATATCTATTATTGTTGGCTATTATATTACGAATCATATTCATATTTCATATCAATCAGCTGTTTTGCGTGTTCAAGATAAACCATTTTTTTTCCTACGTAGAATTGTATAAATCTAGGAAAAATATCGGAGAGGGGGTTTACTGCTTGCCTATACTTTCTATAACAGAAGTTCCCAAACTTCTTATAGTATGACCCATTATGGAAATTATTTAAATTTTGACGACCCAAAATAATATCATTGACCTTTTTTTTTTTTATAAGAAAAGTATTATATTGTTAAAAAAAAGTTTGTACTATGTAAATTTAGTTAGTAAGTATTAAATTTTAATGTGAAGGATGTAATTGTTTCCTATTTTTCATAACTGCATTGATATCCACTTTTTTATTTTGATTGCAAAGAACTTATTGTAAGCTCATCATCAATTAATTTTTTTTTAACTGCTGACCAGTGGCGCATTTAAGGAGTGGTGAAAGGGGCAAGTGTCCCGGGCGGCAAATTTTTGGGAGCGGCAAATTATTCTAACTTTTATTATTGATGTATTCATGATTTTTTTAATTTTCACACCTTTCTCGGTATTGTTTAATATTTTAAAAAATATTGTTGAGCATCTAATAAGAAATTAAAAAAATTATACTATACCTAGTCACTAAGGTAATAGTAAAATAGCAAATTAGGTATATTACATTTATAATTCGATAAGATATTATATTTTCGTTCAATGTTTATAATAATGACTCGGGTACACAGAACGCGGTATTCACTTTAGGGGACATTTAAAAAGTTTATAAAAGGAGTAAAATTGTACCTTAAAGTGTTCAATGTATGTTAGCATTTATAAAAAAGAACAGTTTAGTTGAAGTATATACTTATATTGGTATTGCTCTAAGCATGCTACTATATATGTACACCTTCAAGTAATAATTACTTATTATTAATAAGTTAATAATAAACAATTATTGTTTAACGGAAAAATCATTTTCTACATTAAAAAGGGTCAAAACTTATTTAAGATCAACAACGGGAGAAAAAAAGTCTTAATTAATTAACAACCCTCAACATTTAAGCTGATTTAACGAAAAATATTAATTTTTTAATTTAATTTTAATTTAATTTTTTTTAATTTTTTAATGATATTATTGAACATTTTTCTTCTCAAAAGTCAAGAAAAAATTATAAGCTATCGATTATTTTATTATATATAATTAATAATAAATATTATATATATAATCTAATAAAAAACCATGTATTGTTAATCATTGTGCATATAATAAGTGTTAATTCCGTTTTCTATATTTAATATATATGTATATATATACATTTTTCTCAAGAAAGGAATATTCACTTTGAAAAAAAAAAAATTAGGTTAACGTTAGAATATGTATGTATTACTATAAAATTATCTAATATAAAATCGTAAAACAACTGATTTATAATTTGTTTCATAAAATGTTTTCATATATATATATATATATATATATATATATATATTTTTAATAAAGGGAAAGGGTGGAAAAATTATTTTTCCCCGGGGCGCATATATATTAAATGCACCACTGCTGCTGACGAATATTATCTCAGTTTCTTCAGTTTTAGCAAAACTTTGAGTCATTGACTTTTTATTTAACCATTTGTCCATAGTAACTGTACAAAGTATAAAAAAAAACGAATTTATTCGTTATTTGAAAAATAGTAAGATTTAAACTGCGTGCATGTATCGTATTCAATGTACCGTTTGTTACTGAAAATAATCAATTTATTTGAACGTCATACAGGTACTAATTTGTTTCAAATATATTGCTATATTTTCAATAATCATTAATCCGATTGCGTTGTGTTGACACATTCGAGCATAAGCATATAAAGAAATATTATTATGTCTATTGGTCGCAGAAATTTTTAATTGTCACAAACGCTGATAACAGTTTATAATAAAACTAAATAAATAATTATACATCAACCATAAGTAATTGAAAAACATGAAAAATATAACGCGATCCTACTTTTGGGTCGCGACTTGGGTTTCCAACTCTTATTTACAGATAAGCGGAAAATTTACGAGTATATGCGGGACATGCTTACAAATTTACAGAAACAAGAGAAAACGATTTTAATAATTTTTATTAGTTTTATTTAATATTTGAAATATTCATATAAATTTAACAGAATAATCGCTATTTTAAAGTAATCATCACAAATTTTTTTTTAAAATAAATTAGTAAATAAAGCACCTTGCCCAAATAAATAGGGTACATTGATTACCCTATCATAAGACAATTATTTTTTTCTTTTTGAAAGAGTGCTTGTGTACTGAATACTGAATTGAATCTATAAATACCACCAATTTTTGATTAAACCGGTACGTGCAATCGACTCTGTCGGAATTTCGGATGGAAAATAGTTTTAAATGCGCCCAATAAGAATGTAAGGCTTCTATATAAAAATATTTATACAGGTTTACCAAAAGCGGGACAGTTAGCAACCCTAGTCGCGACCCACAGTTTGGGAACTTCTGTTCTATAGTAACTATAAATGTAATTAAAGCTTAAGAAATTAAATTATTTTCCATTTAATGTTTTTCCTTTACATTGCACATTATTTTAAAGATGTATACATCATGTATGATGTATACACCTTGATACCTCCTTTATATTTATTTATTATATACAATTATTCAACTATTTGATTTTTTTTAGCGTAACCCGGCAGCGACGGGTAATTCAGCTAGTAATATTATCATTAGGTATATGATGAATTATGATTAAATTAAAAAGTAAATTGTGGAGCAGGTTTTGGGCTTGATTAAAACTCAGTCAGTTAAATAATTATTAATTTTCAATACCCCACGGCGCAGCGTGAAAATAAAAACTCAGACGTGTTCTCAAATAATATTCTACATTAGTATGCAAGTAATAAAATATAAAATTAGGTAAATGAAAAAACATTTAAATATCAAATAGATGGCGGCATCGCATTATTTCCGAATTTTTATCTTTTTGTATTTTTTTCCACTATTTAATTTAGTATATGTCTCGGTTCTTTTATGTTTGTTAACTCCAGTTGTTTTACATAAAGTAGACAGGCGATTTTGGGTAAAAGAAATTCCAAATAAAGCCAAAGTATTGTATGAATTATAATGAATGTATTTTTTTCCTTTTATTAAATCAATATTTCATACTAGGTTAGGTATAATGACTAAATTTACGTTTTTAGTTTTTTCTCCATATTTTACCTAATTGGGTAAACTTTTTTATGATGACATGGTTTTTTTTTGGCGACAGTTTTAGAATAATAAAAGATAACATTAGTAATACATTATATGCTCCTACTCTGTTATCCATAGTATAATAATAAATAATATGAAAATGTTTCTTCAATTTATATTATTATAAATTATAATAAACATATCCTTTATACGTGGCCGTACAGTAAATACATATTATTAATACATCATATGAACACAAAATTAATCCAAGACCATTTCCTTCATGAAACTAAGAGCTCACCCTTTTCCTGGTTTTTTTTCCGCCAATTTCGTCGAAATTAATGATACATGCTCAAACCATGTTGGTTCACCGAAAATGAAGTGCCTTAGATCATAATGACTGCTTTCTTTTACATAGTATATTGGACTAAGGTACGGTTATATGGTACAGTAGATTTTAGTCCTTTGATATGTAAAATTAATACATAGTGAATCCTAATATTTATTTCAGATAGGTACATTAATTTATTATATAATTGGTATACATTCTTAAATATCGAGCGTAATTATTAATAAGTAATAACTAGGGCCCGGAATTGTATGCATTCGCATATATTTATATATTAAACTAAAAAGTAGCTAGGTGAGACAGAAATTTGAATCTTAATCTAATGTGTAGGTATGCGAAATTAAATTTGGCATAATTTTGCATACTTGAAACATTTCAAATTATTATGCATATTTTAACATTTTTCTTTAATATAATGCATATACTCGTATGGAATAAAATATTACGAAGTTATTAATATTATTATTTATTACTAAGCACAAGTCCATCGTAAATTCCGTGAATCTTGCAGTTATATAATATGATTTTTGTGTTATAATAAGATAAGATAGTTTGCTAAAAGTACCAATATGACAGTAATTCTCTAGGTAATTTTAAAAATATTATAAAAATCCGCTTGATTTGTTCAAATTGATTTTCGTTTCTGACTTTTTGTTTAGATGAATGAGTTTTCAAAATACAATTTAATTTCAATACAACATACAGTTCCATACAGTTCAATAAAATATATAAAATAGAGTTTATATATTTTAAAGTATATTTTTTGTTGAATATTAATTATTTAATGGATTGTATACATTTTAAAATTAAATTAATTTAATAAATAAATATGCAGTTTTGTTTGCATATTTTCGCATATTTTGAGTGCATATTTAAATGATAACTATTGCATAGATGCATGCATATTTCGTACGTTTATAGTGCATATAATTCCAGGCTCTAGTAATAACAAAGAGTGACTTTTTTTTTTTTTAAAAAAAAAGAATATTTTAGTTTTTGGAGTGAAATACTTGTATGAGAATATAAATAAAGATTTAGGAGTAATTTAAATTATTAAATCATGTAAATATTGAAAGAAAACTTATAAGCTAAGAAAAAAAAAAAATCAAAAAATTATTTGCTATACTTAGAATCATAGTGATATAACATTGAAAAAAATCTAAATGTATTACCTGCACTAAATAATTCAATATAATATAATATTATTTATTGTTTTGATATTAAACAAATACCTATTTTTTATATTTTTGAATTTTCAATTTTAAGTGTATAAATCATGTATTATAATTCCACAACACTTAAATTTTTTTGGGACCTTACTTCATATTAATTAAATTTAATAATTTTCTATTACCATTTTCTATTTTTTCAAATTTTTAATAAAATTAAAGCTTTTAAAATAGATGTTAAGTATAACAATTATGGATCAGTAAAAAAAAAAAAAAAAATGTATAATAATAACAACCTAAAGAAATTAGTATTAACATTTATTTTTAATTTTGAAATAACATACTTCAAAACACTAATTTTAAGGGTATTTACAAACAAAATTAAAATTATTTTTCCATTCCAGTTCTAGTTTTTCTATTTAAAAATGTATATAAATATTTTATTCTCTTTTGCATTTGAGTCCATTTGGTTGGTCTAGCTAGTGGTAATATACCATGTTGTAACATTTTCCTTTTTCTTAATAATACTTGGAATTCATTACCTTTTACTCCTCTTAACCAGGATGGTACATTGTATAATACTCTAACAGGATGTACACCATCATTTCCTAAAATATCAATATAGTCATTCTGACCAAAAAGAGCTCTTCTTTCATTCCAAATATCTTTAGGTCTATATATAGGCATAGGTAGTTTGTTTAGTTCATCAGCTGACCGTGGTAATAACCCTGACTGAAGTATTTTGTTGTCATCATAACCATATCGTCGAATGATTGGTCGAGCACCTTGTTGATTTTTCCAATAACGATGACGAATTGATTGGATGTTGATTTTTGAATATGTAAATTTAAGAGTATTCAATAATGACTGCATCATAGTATATCTACAACAAGAAATATTTTAATTAAAATAAAACTATGGTAAACATTAATAAAAATAATTGAATAACATATATTTTAGATTAGTTAAGAGAGGTATTAACTAGTTAACACTTACAACTAGATAGATTAGTGGATTGACTATAATTTTATACACTAAAATATCTTATATATTTAAAAAATTAAAATATTAGAACCGACTTAATAATAATAATTGTTGTGATACACAATCACGCAGATATACGATGTAATATATGATAGCTGATATGATGGACATACATATATACATAAAAAAAAAAAAAATATAGTCATATGAAAATGTTATTATAGATTATGGTGTTGATAAAAATCAGTGTTGGCATTTCAAGAAACTATTTTACATTTTAAGTGACTTAGTACTACTTAGATTAGAATATTCTACTACTCATAACCATAATTTTAGCTTGAAAAAAAGTATTCATAATGTGAAAAATAGAAATAATGATTTAAATTAAATCGTTAAACATAAATATAAAAGAATATATTAGAATATTTACAAATAAATTCAAACAATGAAAAATGTTTCAAGCAATAAAAAGTGATTAATTTGTTTAAATAAAAGAATAATGACATTAATAATTAATAAGTTCATTTTAATTTAATACATATATCTAAAACAAGTAATATACTTATATTTTAATTATTCAATAAACTTTACACAATAAGTATTCCAGTAGTTATTAAACCGTTAACTAGAACACATTTGATAATAAAAATGTGAATAATATACACAAATATATATTTTTTGTTTCTATGGTAACAATATAACATTCTCTACCAACAAATATTAAACACATTAATGGCTAGCATTTGATTGTACTTGAAGTTTAGGTAGTTAAAAAATACAAACAATAAATGTTAAAAATTGTTTCAAGTCATTTATTTTTTAAATAAAAATAAATAATGGAAAAAGATACTATGATTGAACTTACAGAATTAAATCATATTTTGTATAGTTCTAAAACACATTCAAAAGATAATTTAATTGAAGTAAGTATAAATTTATGTTTAAGAATTTTATATATACATAAAAATAAAAAATAAATAAAATTTACTTAGAGAAACTGATATCAGATGCAAGTATAATAGTTTCCATGCTCATATTTGGACTTAGACTATCGGCTCCTTAAGCCCTCTAATTTATATTTAAATAACCAGTGGCGGATAGGCCCACCGGGAATTTGGGATTTTTCCGGTAGGCCCCACCCCATATTTATATATGGAGGACCTTAGCCCTTTCACCGAGTTCTGTACTTAATTGAAGATATATTTGTAAATTTTAATCACTATCAAGATTTATTTATTTTTATTATAATATAAGAATGTACGTACTTATTTACAAATATTTAAAAGATATTATAATAAGTAAGATGAAGGTTGAAGTTATAAATATAAAATAAATAACAAAACGATTTTATTTGAAAAACTGCGAATGCTAGCTGATAGCTTGATACGAAAAAATACATATTTTGTTCGTTCGTCTCGCGCCTATCATATACAGTGGACAAACCAATCTATTTTTATAAGCTTGAATTACAAAGTCGCCGCATCACCTTCACCGCACGTGCCGCGGCAATGCGTATACTGACATCTATAACAGCATGTTTTCAATTTAACTTAATATTAATTTTTCTTTTTGTTTTAATTGTAGAAAATGAGCCAAAAGAATTTTTTACTCACCAAGCAGATAATACTATTAGACCTGTCAAGTGTTGTGTTGTTTGTTGTTTTAGTATTTTAATGAACCATAATTTGTACACTAATGCTTATCCGGCTCTGTATTTATCTTACAAACTGCTTTTAACATTTTCAGTAACACAAGTAGGTTGTGAGCGTAGTTTTTCAAAATTAAAATATGTTAAAAATTATTTGAGAAACTCTATCACTCAAGACCATTTAGAAAGTTTCATCCTCATGAATGTAGAAAAAGAAATTTTAACTTCTATTTGCCCTGCTACCATAATCGATAAAGTTGCTTTAAATAGTAACCACATAATAATATCATCCCAAATAAAACTCATACTCTCAATATCACTAGCCCTCTTCCCATGGCCCTCCCTGCTAAACATACTAGCCCGGGTGAAATTCAATACATCATCCGTAAACTCCCAGCCAAAAAAGCCCCTGGACACGACCTAATAAGCAACTTAATTGTCAAACACCTCCCTGAAAAATCTATCATTCTTCTAGCACTAATATTCAACTCCATGTTTCGTTTATCCTACTTTCCTACAGCCTGGAAACATTCAAACATAATACTAATCCCAAAACCAGACAAACCGCCTGATATCCCATCTTCCAATAGACCAATCTCTCTCCTCCCCACACTCGCAAAAATTTTTGAAAAAATACTCCTCAAAAGGCTACTTCCACTATCGGACAAATTCAACATCATCCCAAACCACCAATTTGGATTCCGCTCCAAGCACTCCACCATCCACTAACTCCACCGCACTGTCGACCAAATCTCCACCAGCATGGAAGCAAAACATTATTGTGCAGCTGTACTCCTTGACGTGGCTCAGGCCTTCGACAAGGTGTGGTATGAAGGACTTCTTTTCAAACTTAAAAAATTCCTCCCTGCCCCTTATTACCTTCTTTTAAAATCATATCTCGAAAATCGCACCTTCTGTGTTCGCGTTAATAACAGCTACTCGCCAAAATTCCAAATACTAGCTGGAGTCCCTCAAGGAAGTGACATAGCTCCCTTCTTATACTCTATTTTCGCCCACGACACTCCGACCTCTTCACACACATCATTGGGTACATATGCTGACGACACGATAATCCTGGCTTCCAACAACGACCCACAGATAGTATCTCTCTGGCTACAAAATCATCTTAACTCGATTCAATTATGGTCAAACCGATGGAAGATCAAAATAAATGAAGCCAAATCATCCTTTATCACGTTCTCTTTAAGACCAGGCGACTGCCCCTCTGTATTGTTCAATAACAACCAAATTCCAACCACCCCGATAATAAAATACTTAGGTCTAACCTTTGACAGACGTCTCACATGGGCTCAACACCTTAAAATCAAAAGAAAGACAGTCAACTCCAGACTCCATCTACTACGCCCACTTCTTAAATCTAAGACAACACTAACTAATAAACTACTAATATACAAAGCCATCATCAGACCTGTTTGGTCCTATGGCATCCAGATTTGGGGCTCTGCCAAACCCTCCAACACGCGAACAATTCAGGCTTTTCAGTCCATCTGTCTGAGACAAATTGTCTCCGCCCCATGGTTTATCACAAACAATAATCTCCACAAAGATCTCAATATTCCGTCGCTCTCACAACTAACAAAGTCTCACTACGTCTCATTTCACTCCAAGCTAATCCATCACTACAATTCTTTAATAAAACGCCTATCCTCTCGAACAATCCCTGATAACCCTCCAAGACGTCTAAAACGCTCCTGGCCTAGAGACCTTCTAATTTAATCTGTCGGGTGGCACTACTGAGTGCCCTCCCACATTTGTCACTCTCGATATGTAAATACTATGCTTATATCAAAATTACTAAATTTACTTAAATTGCTGTATAGATTGTAATTATATTTTAATAAATAAAAAATTCTTAATGTGTAAAAAAAAAAAAAAAATAGTGAAGCATTAAAAAAGTTACTACTGTATTAATTTAAATTAGTATACAGTTATATATACCTATTCAATATGATTTTCAACATTAAAAACTCTAAATAACTAATACTAATTAACTAATAACTAATTAACTAGTAATTACAAGTACTATGAGTAATTTGTAAATTATTATATTGTAATATAATATGTTGCGAGCGGCTTATTTTTTATGGGGCCTAGGCTATCTAGGCCCTTCCAATTCCTTCCCGGTAAAAAAAATATATACCTATCCACCACTGTAAATAACTGAATCCTTTACCGGATTTAGGAAATTTGACATTCAGGACTAATAAAAATGCAGTTCCCTTATATAGGTGGAAGTATGGGGTTTATGATTTTTTTTGTTTGCCTGAGACCGTATACCCATTTGCCTCCTAGATCCGATATTGACTAAACCAATATATAACATATGATTAAAGCATAAAAATATTAATTTTTAAGTTTCTACATTGTCCTAGCTTATAATTAATTTTAAGATTATAATAAATGGTAAAATAAATTCTACATAGTAAACTATAGCATAGTTTAATTACCGAAACTGTACTATAAAAATATTTATCTGTATGTAGAAAGAGGACATTTGTTAATTAATAGTTGATACTGAAACATACTCTACAGTCATGAAATAAATTATTATAACATTCGAATTAATAATTAATTATAATATAACATTAAGTTAACATAATAAATAATTTATGTTTACTTAATATTATAACATAAGATAACAATTAAAATATTCTGAATAGGAAGAATTAGATTTATAAATAAAATATAATTATAATTAGCATGAGAAACAAAAAGCCTCACGAGTAACTCTTTAAGATACCTTTAAGGTAATGAGTACCTAATATATTTATATTAAATACAGCTTGTTAAGTTATAACATTTATAATGCTATTACCAGATAAGATAGACAAATTTCATACTAAACTAACTTATATTTTAATACCATAACAATTATATAAATTTAAGGTAATTGCACAGTAAATTATGAATTTTTATTAAATATTATTATAATTTTATTATAAATATTAATTTATTTGGTAGTCATAATATACTTGTAAATAAACACTTTTTTATATTTTACTTTTCAGAAACCACCAGAAATTAAGCCAAGAAAAAAAAAATTATTACATTTAACTGATAATCAGTCTACAAGATCTAGTTCTAATAGTAGTGAGAGGTATTAATTTCATGAAATGTTTAATAATTATGAGTCTTACATAATTAATATTTTTAACATTTGTTAAAATAATGATTACCAAGATATCATTTAATGTTTATATAATTTCTTATAGGAACTATTAAAAAAATAAAAAATACTTGAACATTTAAAATGTTAAAAATGTTTACTCACAAGAATAGTTAATTATTATTTAAAATAACTACCTACTGCAGTGGCGCAACTAGAGCTAAAATTTTGGGGGGGCTGTAGCCCCACCTGACATTACATGAAAGGTAACCCGTGGGGGCGTTGCCCCCACACCCCCATATATATTCACTTAAAAATATAAAACATACAAAAAAAAAAAAAACAAATATTTATTTACTCAAGTTTCATTTTTTTTTTATTTTTTGTTAATAAATAGTTTTAATATTACATCGATTTTAATTTCAATATCTTTTTCAATATGAAGTATTGATAGATTACTGAACCGATCTTGGTTCATTGTGGAATTTAAATATGTGTTAATCCACAATAGTAATATAATGTCTGTATATTATAGTTTCAGTACATACTAAAAAATATACAGTAAAATGTTATGTATAACAATTAACAATCGTACCAATGTATCGATAAACATTGTTTCAAACAAATATAGGCAAATGATATTTAGTATTTACCATATTTTATCATAGGCAATATAAAATAATTTTACAATTTGGAAAAAATTTAATTTATTAATTTTTTTCTAAAAACAATAAGAATTACAGTTGAATTTTAAAAGGTTTATTATTATTATACGAAACAATTGAATAATTTATTTTGGGGGGCTATCACAAATTTAGGGAGGCTAAGCTCCCCTCCCCTAATTACGCTTATGACCTACTGTATTATTACAAAAATGATAATTGGATCCTTGGTTTAATAATGTAAAAAAGAAGTAACAAGAATGTATAAAACTAAAACTTGCATTAAGTATATAGATTATTATAAATATTTTTAACTCAGAAAATTGGGAAATTTTTATAGGAATGGTTCAGAATTATCTTCTATTAGTCATACTTCATCGCTACTATCTCATAGTTGGCAAAAAATTGAAAGTAATTTTTTGAATTTTATTATAATAAAATGTTATGTAATTGTAATTTCATTTTTATCTAATTCTTTAATAATAGATGAAAATAACAGACCTATACCAGTACCTCGTCCTCGTTCAGTATCAAGTATTAAGTCCACAAGTACAAATGGATTTAGTGAAAGTATATCTATTAAAAGTTCAACGTCAAATAAGAACAATGTAGAAAATAGCCGATCAGTAACACCTGAGAGTATGTCTATTGACTTGAGTGATACTGATATTACAGATAATTCAAGCAAAATTGTACCATTAAAGTATAGTATAATAAAATTTAATTGATAAATAAAACATTCATTGTTTAAAAATTGTATGATATACTGTTTTATAATTAATGTTTGTAAAAAGTAATAATGCTTAAAATAGTATGAACATTGTATTAGAAATGTCCAAAATGATTAAATTTATACATATATCTAAAATGTCATGATTTTCAATTAATTAGACACATTTTATAGCTATATAGTACTTTTGATAAATAGTTGAATTACTTATAATTATAATAGAAATTTGAATTAAATATTTTTTTAAGTATAATTTTTATGTGTATAATTTGATTAGAACAAAAATAAAAGAAAACAAAATTACTGAATTGCTTATCAGAAAAAATGTGCTTGGTTCGAACAATTTGAATGAAGAAAAAAAAATGTATAAATCTTGGTCTCATTATAGTTTAAATTGTATTAAGAAATTATATAATAAAAATATGCATTAGGTAAAAGTGAAATCCATAGACTTGAAATTTGTGTTCATCGAACAGATGCATTAAAAGTTGATACAAGAATAAAACATCCAAGTGTTATCATTTATATTGTTGATATGTCTACTTGGGAATATTTTAAAAAAGAAGATGTAAATGCAACCAATCATGAAAATACTTTTATTGATCCAATTAGAACAAAAGAATTTGATTTCAAATTTCACAAGTAATGTATTTATTTATATTTTTATTTAAATGCAATTAATTAAATATACAAATCTAGAAAAATAATACCAAATTGGGATGAAAAAATAATTTTTACTGAACAATATGAACATATAATAACAGAAAATACAGTAATATTATTTGAGATCGTAGACTTTTCCGGAAATATTCATCCTCCAATTGCAGTGAATGATTGGCATCGAATAGCTTGGGCATTTATTAAACCTATCGGATCAAATGGAATTGCAAACACAGGAAAACAAATTAGAATACAATTATATAAACCTGGTCCAAAATTAAAGGTTTTTCACAAAAATCAGCCATTGGTATCTGATATTATATGATAAAATAGAGGTAATATAAGCAAGGAAAGTTAATACTTATTTGTTTTAGATAGTACATTGGTTGAAAAAAGGAAAACTTAAAAAATATCCAAGTACTCTTTATATTAGTTTAAATAAAGGAATATACTCAGAAGTAATGGAATCTGAAAATAATCAACGTGATTTTATTTCAAATAAAAGTTGTAGTTTACAAAAAAAATTGAATTCTTACTCGATTAGCTCCAGTTTAGAAACGTGTCAAGTATAACATAAATAAATCTTATTAAACAATTATATAAATTATTATATTTACTTATATATGCTTAGAGCTGTGATATTAAATGGAAACGTTTTCCTGGTCAAAAATGTAAAATACCAAATTCTGAAATTGTGAAACTTCAACCCAATTTAGAAGGATGTATGTACTTGAAATTTAGTTATGATGGATTAAAGCTCGCAGTTGCAACTGGAAAATATGTATGTATCTATTCAGTACCAGAATACAAATTACTCAAACAGTTAATTGGTCATCAAGGTAAGTAGCATTGCACATAGCTTGCATTACATAAGTAGCTACATGTATACATGTATATTTGTGGATTAATTCATTTTATTAATTTCAATCGTGTAAATTCAGTATTGAAATCATTAGTAAAAGGGAGTTAATACATTAATGTAATTAAATTTTATTTTTTGTATTTTTAACAATAAACATAGACATTTTAGTTTTTTAAAATAAAATACCCAATCTAAATAAGTGACAATTGAGAAAGTTATTTTGTTTTTCTTTATTTATCTAACTATTTTTTTAATATCTAGTTTTTAAATTTATAATAATCACATTTTAAATAAATTATATTAAATTATAAAAATTATTTTATATTTTTACAGGTTTAATATACACAATAAGGTGGAATAATGACAATAATAATTTAATAACTACTTCTTCAGATTATACTGCATGTGTATGGACATTAAAAAACAATAATCAAACAGACTTCCAAGTATAAAAACTTTATCGATAAACAATGAAAAAAACTTTAGTAAAATTATTATTTTTAGATTCTTCCACATCCATCATATGTATATTGTGCTGAATACCATAATGATGTAATAATAACCGGATGTTATGATAGTATATTACGATTATGGACTTCCACTTGTAGTAAATGGACACTTTGCCAAGAGATAGAATTACATAAAGGTTTTATAACTAGTATTGCTCAATTAAACAGTATGGTACTTTCAGCCGATAGCCATGGGATGATTATTGATTGGACACTCATAAATAATAGGTAATAATATTGATGAATCATAACATATTAAAAACAAAAACATAGTATATGATTTAATGGCTTTAATCAATAGCATTAAACAAAAACAAATTTAAATGTATAATAATATATTATAATATATTACATTTATAGATAATCATTAATGTATTTATTCATTATTTTAGACTAGAAGTAAGAAGAATTATATCAGTACCAGAAATAAGACAAGTAATAATTAGCAACATAATTCTACATCCAGCAGGTAAACGATTATTAATTCAGACTAGAGATAGTATTTTACGCATGATGGATTTATATACAACTGCAATTATACAGTGGTTTAGGGTACGTATTTAAAACTAAATTTAAGCATTTATTTTATGAAATTAAAAATGTAATCATAATTTAGGGTGGGGTGAACAACAAAGTACAAACAGGATGTGTTTTAAGTCCTTGTGGTAATCTTGTGTTTAGTTGTGGTGAAGACGGTCTTGTTAATGTTTGGGAGGCATATACTGCTAAGCAGTTAGCCTTTTATACTAATCGACAAAACTTATTATCAGCTACTAGTGGTGCAGTTGATTATCATCCTTATGATCATATTATAGTATTTGGGGTATACACTCCAAGTAAAAGTTCACCAATATATATTGCTCAATATAAAAAGTAAGTAATTTTATGTTTTAATTTGTTATAATAAGAAACTACATTTGAAATAATATAAAAACAATATTTTTGTTATTTATATTAAATAGTCATCTTTCAATATTATAGAGACAAAGAAACAGATATAGGTTTGAGATTTTTAATTCCAACAGAGCACAAACAAAAAATATTTGGAAATATTAACTATCAGAAAACAGACGAAGGATGTTTAAATAAATTTAAAGCAAACCAAAGTGATAACCAACGAGTGATACCTTTAGTCAATATTATAAAGAAAATGGATAATGTTTTAAATTCATATAAAACTAATGAACTAACTGTAACAAAACTGTAGGTATCTAATGCTCAAATTAAAATAATACAAGTATTTCATGTGTGCATAATATTTATAATTTATTATATAATACTATAATAAATAATTTATAAATAATGTATTTCGTAATTTATAACTAGTAAAGATAATGTGGTTTAAAATAAAAAAAGATTCCATTTGATCTTCTTGAGCAGACCTATTCCTGTAAATAATAGAATCTAGTGTTTTCTCTTCATTACTTTGCTGAATAAACAAGATATTCATTGTCAACATGTATAAAAGGAATTGAAGGACAGACATTTGAAGATAATTTTGACCGTAACATGATTCATTTGATCAAAATAAATATATGTATGTAAACATATGCCAATAAAATTTAACACTTCTTCGAATTTAACTGTTCAACTTCTAAAAATTGAAACAGACAAATATAATGTACCATATTTGCATGTATTATAATTTCCATTTAAAAATTGATGTATTTTTTTTTTTAGTACAAGATAAAAGAGCAGATTTGTAATAATAGTTTCAACCAATAATTATAATACCATTAAAAATTATTTAAATATTGACAAATTTAAAGATAAACTAATATTTTTGGTGGATAATTCAATTAATAGTTAATACTACATTATTACTACGCTCAAAAATATGGAAATTGTCCAGGTCACAAAATAATACATTAATTATACGAGAATATTTTTAGGGGTCACATATGCATGATCTCATATAACGCCAGAAGTGTGTTTTAACATATTTATTAGGGTAAGATTATTTTCCAGAAACAAAAACGTGGAGGTCTACACAGTTCCCATCATTTTAAAACAATTTAAACATAAAACGTGTTATAGAATCAAGTAAGTGTACAATTTACATGTAAATATACAAAAATATATTTATTCTATAAAACAGGTATGTACAAAAAAAAAAAAAAAAAAACAATAAAAATAAAAAATATAATATTATAATATAAAATCAAATTTTTCGGTAATCGTGGGGATTACCTGCGACACTTAGTCAGCAAAGGGATGTCAGAAAATTTTATGAGTCGTGTAAATTTATACATTTTTAACAAGGCATTTGATAAGGAGTTCATTAAGAGAATAGTTTGAATCCGATTATTTACTACATAGTTTAACCAGTCTTATAAAGACAACTGTGATTTTAAATGATTTTTACATTTCACTGTTCGTAATTCCAATATAAATGAGCAATAGGAATATATTTAAATTTTTCAAACTGAAATCGTTATAAAATTAGTGACCAATCTTTTTTTTTTTTGATGTTGCGATTTTAATTATACAGAGGGTCAAAAAAGTCTCCATACATTAATGTTAAATTTTTTCCATTATATATAATGATAATTAAAAATTTAAATAATTTTATATTTTTAATAACAATTTATTAGAAAATACATAAAATTATGTTTTTAGATAAATGAAGCATATTAATTATTTTATTATTTACATGTATAATTATAAATAAATGTAGAAAAATAACAACAAAAAAGTTTCCGTACAACATAACATAAATATTTTTAACTTTATACAATATAATAATATATATATTAATAATATCAATTGCTGACGCCCTAAGTAATGATGTTTCTAAATTAATAATAAATCTATCAACAATTCAACGTGATCGAATTAGGTTTCGAGAAAATAAAACGATTGAACTTCAAAAAAAATTTAATTTGCTAGAAAAAGAGTATATTGTCTTACATTGAGATGGAAAAATTCTACCAGATATTACATATGGAAAATCAAAAGTAGATAGGTTACCTGTAATTGTTTTGTTTGAGGGAATAACTCAATTACTTGGTGTGCCAAAGCTCAAAAGTGGTACTGAAGAACAACAAGCAAATGCAATATTTGATATTATAAATGATTGGGGTGTAACAAATAAAGTACAAGCTTTATGTTGTGACACGACGGCATCAAACACAGGTCGCTTGAATGGTGCCTATATTATATTGGATCAACTGATATTAATTAATAATTAATATTTATAATTAATCTTTTATATTTACCTTGTAGGCGACATATATTCGAATTAGTGCTAAGAAGTGTTTTTGAAGTTAAATTAAAAATAAATACTATTGGTCCTGATGTTCCTATTTTTAAAAAATTCCAACAAGCCTGGCCCGAAATTGACTTAAAAAAGTATGAAATTTGAATAAATTATGCATTTGTAAAATCTATAGTTGGAAAAAATAAATCTCAAATTATAGACTTCTGTTTACAAAATTTAAAAAAAAAAAACAATGTAGAGATGATTACAAAGAAATTCTAGAGTTGACTATTATTTTTCTAGGTGAAAACCTACCAAATGGTATATTGTTTCACTATCCTGGTGCTTTTCACCATGCCAGGTGGATGTCAAAGGCAATTTATTTATTCAAAATATATATGTTTCGAAAACAATTTAAACTTAATGTTCGAGAAGAAAATGCATTTCGAGATATATGTATTTTTCTAGTTACGATATACGTAGAAGCATGGTTTAGATGCCCTGCTGCAATCGAAGCACCTTATAATGACTTTATATTTTTAAAAAAATTAATCGAATACCCAGATAAAGCTATTCCTGAAACAGCTGCACATAAATTTTGTGGACACTTATGGTATCTTGCGCCGGAAAGTATAGCCTTATCATTTTTTGATTTTCGGGTGCCAACCGAAATTAAAATTAAAATGGTCGAAGCACTTAAATCAACGCAGAACAATGATGATACAATTAAAAAAATTGTTTTGAGTAAAGAAGGTATAAAAACATTTATATAAAAAGAATTACATGAATTTGTATCACCAGAAACAGTCAACTTTTTTTCAAGATTTAAAATTTCAGCCGACTTCATAGATTTCCATCTGGATACTTGGAAAGAAAGAGAAGACTATAAAAATGGAATTTATATTTTAACAGAGTTATCAGTCATAAATGATGTTGCAGAAAGAGGCGTTAAGTTAATTCAAGAATACAATAATATACTGACGAAAGACGAAAATCAAAAACAATTTCTACTACAAGTTGTAAATGATTATACAAAAAATTACCCTGACTGTAAAAAAAATACATTAATTCGTTCATAATTAATAGATATTTTATTTGAATATAACGCATCTAATTTTCACATTGTATTACTCCATTGAACCACTACCTATTTATTTTTAATGACATCAATATTTAATATGTACTTGTGTAGATGAACGACTTTTTTTTAAGATTAAGTTTTTGACAGAAAATAATAGATTTACGAGAAATTTTATTTGAATATTTTTTATAGAGAATACCTAAATTTACAATTTAGGTTCTATACAATTTTATACTAAATGCAATATATAATGAATTAAATCAGAATAATACTAAAACTACCATATTTGATGAATATTCAACCCTCTTGCGGCACCTGAAAGGGGTTATTAATCATCACCAAATTTAACCCACATAACTTTCGCATGGTAATGAAAAAATTGGGGGGGGGGTGAGAAATCAAAAATATTTAACTTTCTTAACCCCCCTACTATATAAGGGCCACCCTAATATATATAACAGGATTCTCGTGCAATTGCAACTTTTTTTCCTTTGCTTTAAATCATATAAAAACAAATTATAAATCCGAATCATGAGAAGCAGATTAATTTAAACGTAGTTTTATTTTGCACGAAATTGCACGTTTTGCACTTTTTATTCTAAATTGCACGATTTTGATTTTCGTTGCATGAAATTGCATATTCTGCATTTTGAAAATTAAACTAGATAATATATATATGTATATAGGTAGCCAGGTAGGTATATACAATTATATTACCTTCATACAGGTATGTACGTAAATATTGGTTTACAAAAGGAAAAAGTGAACCCAAGCTGCTAATATCCTTAGAATAACATAAATTTATTAGTGTTTCGTAGTAAAAATAAATGCTAGCAATTACTAATTAGATAATGAATGAAATCTCCGGCCATTAGAACTTTAGTGTCTGTCCGACTTTGTGTTTGAGTGTTTCTTAAATTGGTTAGTGTCGTGATAGTTTCATTACGAATAATTTACGTAAAAAATATAAACAAATTTATAAAATGCCAAAAATTGGGTCAAGTCTGTCGTCAAAAATTAAAACCTGGATATCAAATTACCCAGAGTTGAAATCTGATGGGAAATCTGTTTTCTGCGCTTCTTGTGAAAAATCAATAGGATGTGAAAGGAAATCTCAAATTGATGCTCATTGTAACACTAGTAAGAAACAATATTTTTATTTAAGAATTAGGTATCAATTTTTTATTATTATTTTTTCGTTAGCTATTCACGAGAATCAATTAAAACTATAATAAAAACAAACCGATATAACAACAAATTACAGATTCTTTTGAAACATCAAGTAGCCAAAACCAATTTTATATTGATTTGTGCCAGGCTTTAGTAGGAGCAAATATACCATTTTTCAAACTGCAGTCCCTACCGTTTAGATCCTTTTTACAAAAATATACAAATAAAAGTATACCTGACGAGAGCACACTCAGGAGAAAGTTTGTTTCGATTCGACTATGGTTAAAATTCGTCAAAAAATTGGAGAACATTATATATATGTCATGGTCAATGAGACCACTGATGCTAGAGGACTTTATATATGCAACCTTTTGGTTAGAATTCTTCACCAAGAAATTGATCCCACACCATTTTTAATTGCCAGTAAGGTTCTCCCTAAAACAAATTATGACACTGTCTCTCGATTTATTAACGACAATCTGATGAATTTTTTTTTCAAAATTCAGATTATCAGTATAAAGTGCTTTTCCTTGTAACATTTTAATAAATTTAAAATGTTTATTAATGCATTGGATGAAGACGTACAGACTATCAACAAATTTAAGAGAATCATAACTTCGGCGTCAATAATTTCTGATTTGACTTTCATAAAATCACACTTGTCAACTTTTCCCCAGGCGTTAATCCAGTTAGAAAACCGAAATGTGTCCCTCAATAAACAAATTTAAATATTTGAAACTATAGGAGAAAGTCTTAAAAAAATAAATAACGAGAAAGGACAAATTATGGCTTACAAATTTAACTCCGTTGTGGAAAAAAACACAGGCTACGCTCTCATAAAAAAATACGACTGCATAAATGGTACGAAAAATATAAATGTTGAACAACAGCCTGCAATCGTCGCTTGCAACAAAATGAGTCCTATCACTTCTGTTGAAGTAGAATGAACATTTTCCAAATTAAAAGACATATTGAGTGATAGAAGGCACAATTTTTCTGCACACAATTTTGAAATGTATAACATTGTAAATTTTAACTCAATAAAAAAATTAATTTTTTTTTGTATGTATAATAGTTAAAATTAAAATTAAATAGCTTAACTCTGTTGGTATGGTTTTTTTTATATATGTATATATATCAATCTTTTAATTATTAATTACTCATTAATTTTTTGCTAATCCTGTAATAGTGTAAAAAACTGGATAAATACAGTATAATTCAAGCGTTTAAATCAATGTACTTTGAATGTTTACAAAATTTTGGAAAGTATTAAGCGATTTTAGGAAAAAAATACATTTTTGCGCGATTTAGGCACTTAACTGCATGTTTTTGCAATTTTTAAGTTATTAACTGCACATTTTTTTTGATTTTTACTGCATGAAAATCCGGTCTTTAGTTATAATCCTTGAATGCAATCGGATCGAACCGAGACCATTAGTGTGAATCGAGCTGTACCGTTTTCGCGCAGGTAGAATGAACACTCGCCAAGCCTTAAAATCCCCTCTATATAATCGCCGACGATAACCGACAAAATTTACCAGTTTCACATCGTGTTCAAGTGATATCAGTCGACGCGTCGCGACGGTTCGGATCGGCGTCTCAACTCACATATATAGTATTTAACAAAATTGTGGTGGGGCATGCGCAGCAATGACCAATTTTTGTTAGCGGTTGGTATTTTTCTCTCGTAGGAATGGAGATTTCTTGCAAATGTATATAATTATATAATGCGTATCGATTTACATGAAAAATAACAGATATTTTGTAGGTATAATTTTTTTGACTACACTAATATCGCCGTCTTATACATAAATAGTTTACTTGAATTAGCTCACGATTTCACAAAAGACAATTTTTATTCGTTTGCCGTCCGTTGTCATAATAGCTAATTGTCGCTTTTGTAATAAAAATACATGGATATTGCCACAGAAATTGTAATTTTTGCGTAGAATGCAAACCTATCATATGGGATAAGTTTAAAGACCTGTACAAAGATAGAAATAGAACCAAAAATTCTTAGGAAGAAATGTGTAATCATTAATTTTTCAATTAATATTTGGCCGCCAAAAAAAAATTATTAAGAAAACTACTACCAATTTCTTTAAATGATCTTCCCCTAAATACCATCTAGACAACATTTATATTACAAAGTTTCCATGATTGCGACGATTGGAGTAATCCTTCTGGACGAAATCGAGTATAAATATAGTACATAATGGAGCATACAGATCTTTTTAAAAAACCACAAGTCATAATTCATATAGTTTCACTCAAAATCTAAAATGTATGACTGTTGTTGCATACAAATTTAGCATTAACTATAAGTGAATACCAAGCGACTTTGTAGAAGTTTAAGAATTAAATGTACATTCATACAATCTGGGCATTCTCATTAGTTATAACAAATTATATTCATATTGAACAGGGGTGACAAATATAATTACGTCAGGACATCAATGATAATTGTCACAGCACTGATTTAATACCAGAAACATTCAAGCATTACAAACAATATGTCAACACACGAGTGCCAATCGCCCTTAATACATCACCAATAACTACTACAAAATGATTAATGGAAAAACGTTTCTATGTACTATCGACCTCTTCACTTCAAAATGAAACATCATTCCAATAGTCTAATTGCTCAACTCTATTCAATAAACTTCCTTATAATCCAGTCCAACGCCTTAAACCTGAATGATCTAAATAACTTTTAATTATACCCATGTTCAAAGTTTCTAATGTTAAACACTTAAACGTTAATTAACGCTCTATTTTTTTATCGTAGCATTTATAGAACTTATATATTACACACAGTAGAATGAATTATAAATAATTGTTGAAAATTCACATAAAGTATCTATCAAAAATAAGAGATAAAATCAATATAAAATGTGTAGGTACATGGTAAGTTTTTACTATATGTCTTTCTACATAAGTCTTTACACTATCATTCCTTACAATTACTTTACATTTATTTACATATTTTTATTTTTGATTATTTAATATTTTGTATTTTAAACAGTTTATGAATTATTTTTTTCATCCTACAAATATGCGATGAGTATACCGTAGTAAAACCGAGTATTCAATGATAAAATGTCTGAAAATATATTATTAATGTTGTTGTGATGATTAATATTCAAGGTTTTTTCAAATATAAGATAATTCATTTCCTTTAATAGTTTTTAATGCATGCTCTGAAATTGCCTGTTCTTGTGTGATAAATATATACAAAATATATTTTAAAAACTTCGCATAAATTATATTTTAATTTAAGTGGGGAAACCAGAATGGAAATTATTTGCATTATACTTATTCACTATATTACAAACTACAAGCAGTCGTAGAAGCGAATAGATTATAGAAGTGCGATGTAATGTTTATTAAATATAAAACTATATACGTATAAATATATTTTTGTTGTTTTTACATTAATAACCTAACAATAATGCATTTTGTTCAAAGTTGGAAGATATTGAAAGTAATCGGTGCTTTTATAATTGCAACTTATTGCCAGGCACTCAACCAAGGTTTGTACGCAGTGTAAAATATTTTTTAAAATTTGTCTTAAAAATTGTCTTCAAATGTATACATGTGTCATGTAATATATATATGATTATATAAATGTATTTGCTACGTTATCCGTTTATGAAATAAAGCCCTGTTTCAGAAGAACTTATTAGGACACAGTATAAAATTTAAATATAATAAAGCCAGTAGCATCCAAGTTGATATGTATGAGTATGTATGTATATGTATAAGTCTTTGTATGAGTTAATAAGTACATAGATACTTATAGTCACATTAAATAATGTCGAAATAAATACTTACTTTATTTTAAAAATACTGCAATTTTTTTTTTTATTTTATTGTATAATATAAGACAGTGATTTTTGGGATATTTTAATACAGTCGTTAAAATTTAGTTAATGTTTAAAATAAACCATGTTTAAAGTTAAACCATAAGACACAAATAAATATTTTAATAAAATCATTTAAATTACAGAATCGGAATAGGTCATATTTAAAAGTTAAACAAATTAATAGTAGTTAAAATTCAAGTTTATAAATGATAATGTTATAATAGTACCTATATAAAGATATAAAATAATAAATATTACATCACTACATCTACAGTTAAGAGTAAAAAGAAATGTTTAGTTAAATCAATCTAAATTCTATCACACAATAATCCTTGATACTTACTTACTAACAACCCCTTACCCCCCCCCCCCCGCCAATGGATTATCCGTTAGATAAATAAGGATAAGTGTTGTAGGATATTCTACCCTACTCATACATTTTTATATACCCACTGACATAGTTCAGTCCTTCAATGTAAAAACTTTATTTTAATAAAGTTCTAATTAAAAAAATCATTAATTTTTCAATTTTTTTTCTTTGTATAATTAATAATCAATATTATTAAAATTATATAATGGTTCAAACTAAAATATGAAAATTAAAAACTTTATACTACGGTAATATTACAAATAAAACAAAACAGGTAATTTGTGATAAAATGGTTTATTCATATTTTGTGATATCTCTATAAAAAAAATACCTATCAATTTGGTCAGTTTGATTCCTGAACTCCTCTAGAAAATTATAACGTATCACAATTTTTTTATAATTTATAATCACTTAATGTGAAGTATAAATATTTAAAAAATATTTCCTCTTCATAATATTGTGTTATTAACCAAAGTCTTGGTACCACAAAAACATCTGAATAAAAAATAGGAACCAAGAAAACAAGAATATTTCTAATATTTTGAGTTTCAGGGAAGGTGATATGGATGTTATATTCCACTTTTCTGTTTTTTTATAATTTAATTATGTAGGAAAAATACAAGAAAATTAAATACATATCTAATTCGAACTAAATATTTTTCGTAAATAGTATACATCTAATACGAGTACTTGTCGGTTCTTATTTGCAATACTTACGTAATTCTATAATTCTATTCTATATATTTAATATATATTGTTTATTTATTTTTAAAATTGATCTCTTCTATTCAAAAATTATATCTATAATCTATACCAAGGCAGAGGTCTCCAACCTACGGCTTAAGCTTTTCAAAATGGCCCACCAAATTTACTGATATTTTGTCAATACAGACCCATGAGCAAGAATCGTCTAAGGTAGAGGTTCAAAATGATATATGTTATGTTAGGTAAAAATTAAATAAAAAAATACACGTTGGAATATCCATGATCAAAAATATCAGGATCGAAAATTAATAAATGTCAACTAATGTCTGAACAGCTTAAATAGCTGACTTGTTAGTGAAAATATGTTCTATGATGGCTACATTTACAACGATAATCGACAGTAAGTAGAAAATTAAATGAAAAAAGCGTCAAGTCAAGAAAATAATCACTGTTAAAACAAAAAATGACAACTATATATGAATTTTCAATTTAGATTAATTTTTATAGAATAAAAACTAGATATATTCTTAGTGAAAATGTATGTAAAAAGATTTTTAATGGGGATGTTAGAACCCCAACCTCCCTCCCTCGCGCACGAGCCTGTGTCAATATTATTCCTAAACTGAAAAAATATGCACGTGAAATTATTTCAATAATTAGATCCATTTACTTATATGAACAGACGTTTTCAAAAATAAAATACTTCAAATCTAGGTATAGTATTAATTTAAGTGACGCTGTTGATTGGAATAACAATGTTTGATACAAATTATCGAGAAATTTAAAAATACAAGCAATTCCAAACTTCTCATTAAGTAACTTACTTGTAACTCAATAAAATAAAATTTGAATTTTAAAAATATACATTTTTTTTAATACCGAAATAAATCTTTTCTATTATTATCTATTCTTAAACTTTATTATTTCACTATTCTTATAAAAAATACTGACCCGCGATGTCAAAGCGTTTCTCAGTTTTAGCCCATTTTAAAAAAAAGGTTGAAGATTTCTGGTCTACACCATTGGGAACTGTCATAGTATAACCAAATATAACAAAATCATAAATTTTTAAAATTATTAATAGATATTTGATTTAACTAACAAACTATTAGCTTAACTCACTAGTTCAAGGAATTGAATCTAACGACATGACCATAATTTTATTTTTATCTATATGGTTATTTCAACTTTATCATCATAACGACATTCTTGCAGATGTAATACTGTTAATACTAGTTTAAAGAAAAACAAGTCCATTTATATGTTAATTGCGCTTAATTTATTTATAATGGACATCATACACTTCTTCTGATTTCTCATGAACTGTGTTTAATACTTATACAAACATTATTATAATATTCTGCACTAATTCCAGAACTGTACTTTTGGTGATAATATGTACAACTACTTCGGTGAGCAAAAATAAAGTTTACAATATACTTATGTTTAACATAGGTAGGTACTAATATAGTACTTATACACAGTATACACAGTGATAGTTTTTAGAATTTTGTCTGGGGGTTTATTATCTTATAATATAATAAGACAAAAAATGTTTAACCCATAAATTATTTATTACTTAATATTTAATTATTAAATTTAATTCTTCTAAACGAAATAAAAAATAACATAGTATTTTAAACCTGAGAATCTCAAGCCAATAATATATCATAGCCTGAACTGAGCCTGACCAAACCCCTAAGATCCCTCCCCCTCGTAAAATCACCATTGAGCATACACATTATATTACCATAAATAATAAGAATTTACTAATTTATTACAATTAATTTACAATTCAATTATTGTAATACCCCTTTTTGCGCTAAAGATAATCAAAATGAGGTTATATTCATTTTATACATATAACTAGAGGCGGCTCCAGGGGGGAGCCCTAGGGGCCGAGCCTCCTCCCCCCCAAGCCCTTACCGTTTTTATAAAAAATTTATATTACTAACAAAAAATGCATACTATAATATGGACTATTATACGACACGCACAAGTATGTAGATAAAGCCATAGAGGTATAATGGTTGAAAGGAGTTTCTCTACACTTCGGAGATTTAAAACTTGGCTTCGTTCAAGGATGACTGAAGATAGACTATCAGCATTATGTCTAATTAATGTATATCATAAAGTAGATATTCTAGATTAAGTAGATCATATAATTGATATTTTTGCCAATTTTAAAAATAGACGACTTGAATTTGTGTTGTAAAAATTGTTGTTTTCTTTCTGCTATAAGATTTTGTAAAATTATAATTTGGCTCTCCCCCTTACCAAGGCTCTGGAGCCGCCCCTGTATATAACATATATTAAAAGACTAGAACTAGTGCTGAGTTGGGGGTACGCAGAGGGACTGAGTAATCCAACTAAATTATCAGCATATTCTAGCATAACCCTACTATTTTACTAAAAAAAGGACGCATGAGACGGTACTTTATTTAGGTTGAGTTTTTACAGAAATTCAACAAATTAATATTTTTATAAAAAACAAACCATTTACAAAATGTTTAGTTAGTTATACCTACTTAAAACATAAGTTTTTAATACAGCGGTATACGATAAAAGATAATAACCAAACCTCAATATCGCTTACTAATTACCATTACATAGAACGCCAGTAGTTTATTATTAATATTTATTTATTTTTTTTGTTATAATTAGAATTTTGGATTGACTTTAACTTCTTTAGACAAAAAACAAACATTCTACATTGATATGTACATTGAGGTCATGGTTCAAACTTTGAAAAGTGAGGGTATCAACCATAAGGGAGCAAACACAGTTATGTTCAGTTTTTAATTAAGTAAGGCGCAACATTTGTATGTGCTATCCCAGCAGAGGTGGAACTAGGAATTTTTACGCCCGGGGAAAATGTTAAAATTATGCCCTATCATAGACCAATAATCAAATACTCTTCTCGAGAATTTTTTTTTCTAATTATTAATATAAAATTATACTTATTGAGTTTTAATCTAATATCAGTATTCAACAAAGTTAAAAATATCAAATTAGTTGTTAATAATTACAAAAATTACATAAATACAATTTTACGCCCGGGGATGAATTTCCATCTTCCACCCCCTAGTTCTGCCTCTGGATCCGAGTACCTCTACTATTTTTTTCCAAATCAAGCATTGACTACAATAGTTAATTTTAATACATACATCTTTACAATTGTGGACTTGTTAAGTAACAAATACATTTAGTGACATCCTAACTACCAATAACACCATAGGACAACAACATTTTACACGTTCTACGGTTTTTCGTAGTTATGGTGTGCAGTGGCGCAACTAGGTGTGAGGTTTGGGCGTTGTGACCCCCCTCCCCCTCCACCCTAAATTTTTCTGAGGTTTTTATAAATTCTACTTAGGAAGAAAATGGTTTATCTTGAAGACGCCAAATGGCTGATTGAAGTTAAGTATGAATATTATTCGTAATATAATTGATAACAATAATAACATGACAATATGGAACGTTTTGTAACATTCCGTTCAACTTTACAACATCAGTAACCTTGCTACTACGATTTTTCGATAGTCGATTGTATAATACTTTTTTTTTGTGGTATCATAATATGAAATAGAAGTTAAACAGTTTAATTAGTAATTTCAATATTTTACTCATAAACTTAATTTAATCTTACTTCCATATCCGTACCAAACACCTGCTGAAAATGCTTAACATTCCAATCAATGACGGGCTTAAAGAGAGGGGGCCAGGAGGTCAGCTGACTAAAAGTGAATATTTTTAAAAAAGACTGGCTTTTGAAGACTTAATATAATTTTAAAGTGTGCCGTTTTTATAAGCTGACATTAATTGATGCAAATGTCCTAGTTATTCCCCCCCCTAAATAACGCCGCTGGTTTTATTGTATAGTTCAGTAAAACCCTATATTGTCGAACCTCATGTAAGACCGAATCCTCCATAAAATAAATGTTAATGTTTTCAATGATAATTATGAATACATTTAAAAACACATATTATATGATCAATGATCAAAGTGTTTTTGTTTGTTAAAAGGTATACATTTATAATCCAGTTTCAGTCCTAATAAGTGGCCTTACTGTAATAAACATTTTAATCTAGTCATAATTACTCGAAATTCTAAACAGATGAAATAACTATAAGTTTTTTAACTTTTAAATTATTAAATAAGATATAACAGAATTTATTTCATTTTAGTGCACTGATCATTCTAGTAATGCAATAATACGTCTTTTGAAAACCTAGTAAGATTTATTATATTACATTTTAATTTTATCTCTGAAAATTCTACCAAATTATAAAATACAATCAACCAATTACAACATGGAAAATTTAATTTTGAGTAAGTCTAATCTGTTGTGAACTCGTGCTTCCGGCTAATAATCCTACTTTAACGCGGACCTCGCGGTAGTCGTCATCAAATAATCAATCCCTATAATCCGATGTTTTTATTTGTCTTTTAGATTCTATTTATCAATAGAAATCATTGTTACTAGTTCCAGTTTAAAGACCAGTAATATGATTGTAATCAATCGAGTAACCAGGATTTATGATTTATTTTCGAATGGGGAGGGGGGAGTCATACACTTGAAATTTTTTTTAATTTGGTAGGATTTAGTGGAGATAATAAAGTAAGGTTGAGTTAACTACATATTTTGGATGATTAACAACCCCAACCCCCCTAGTTACGTCACTGATTCTAATTTTTTATTTTTACTTTTAAAGATTATGGTACCAAATGTGTCTAACTTTAGTTGTAAATTTCTAAAATAAAAATTGATGACGAGAATAAAACATTGTTACATTAGAAGACTTAATTTATAATATAAATAATCAAAAAATGGATTATTTGTACAGCTTAGAACAGTGGCGTAGCCAGGATTTTTAAATGGGGGGGCTAACCACTTTTTTGGATAAGTAAGGTAAGAGAGGATATGAGAATTCACCCTTAACCCCCACCCACCATCTACCACCAAGTTTCTGAACGTAATTCAAGCATTTTAGTATAGTTTTAAAAATATAATTTATTATAATAATTTTGGTTTCAGTGTTCAGTCACTTGCTCCACTCTGACAGCTGCATCCTCTTAGGCGAATTTCTGGCAAATTCAGTTATTATTTCACTTTTATCGAATTGCTCTTTTTTATTTATTTAGCCATAGCTAACCCATTCAGTCTGTTTTCCGACATGGTGCTTCTTAAAAAAATTTTTAAGCGATTAAGTGCTGAAAACGTTCTTTCCGGAGTGAAAGAGGTAACTGGTAACGTGGTGAATAATTATAAAAGTATTTTAATATTAGGTCGAAGATTGGTGCGATGAGAGAGTGAATAAAGAGCAGAATTCGGTTTTGGAATAGTATTTTGACTCCATTGTTGCCTCCATATGAACAGGTCAGCTCTGATTGTAGATGAGGTATCATCATGGAGATCTTGGACATATATTTTAGCAGCTTTTATAATATTTTTATCGTCATACATATTTAATTGGCCTGAATAAGTCCTTCAAGTGGCATAACATCAATAAGCCTTTGATTAAAACGAGCATCCATTGATTCTATTAAATAGTCAATATACATTATAGATATAAACACGGCCCATGGGGGGGGGGGCTATAGCCCTCTTAGCCCCCCCCCCCCAAGGCTACGCCATTGGCTTAGAATTATGTATAAAATAATATTTAAGCAAAATTATAAATAAAAATAATATATTTATGTAATGTATTATATAATGTATACATAATCCACTAATATATTATTGGTAATTATTATATTATTTTGTATAATTATTTTCAGACATTGGTGAGAAATGCACAAACAAAAATGGTATTGTTGGATTTTGCCAATCAAAAATTAATTGTAGTGAAGACAGTAATTTAGGAGCTGTATGTAACTCTGAACAAACTATTATTTGCTGTGCTCAAAATACTTTAAAAAATAAGAAAAATATGACTTCAAGTGATAGTCTTCAAGAGGATCAAATGATACAATCACGATTTGGCTTTATACCAGATTTCTTTCATGCATCTTTAATACCTCAAAATCCAACACCAAATATTAATTTTTTTAATCATCAAAATAATAAAAATTCTGATATTGTTAGTAATGTATTTCATCAGAATTTAAATACTATGAAATTTATTGAAGATAGACCTTATCAAAATTTAGAACAAGATGTAGTGACCAAACCAAATAAAAAAAAAAATTCATTCACTACACAAACAAATAATTATGAATTTTATAGCAGTAATAATAATAATAATCATAACTCAAATATCCAAAATATTTTTGATAGCCCTCAAACTACAAAAATATCTCAAATTAATTATCATTATTCTAGTTATGAAACACAAAGACCGAATTTTAATCAAAATAACAACAATAATAAACGACCTAATTATGAAACATATCCTCAAAATCAAAATGATTATTATTATTTAAGTTCCACAACTATAAGGCCAAATTATAATCAAAATAACAATAATAATAAACGACCTAATTATGAAGCATATTCACAAAACCAAAATAATAATTATAACCCAAGTTCCACAA